TTGCTGCAGTTGCTGCTGTTCGTGTTGTGCTGCCTAATCTACCTCAAGGCCCACCCCTGCTTCCTGTGAGTCCCCCCCCAAACCCATGTGCTGCTGCTGCTGCTGCTGCTGCTCGTGCTGCTCGTGACTTTCTTCTTTGCTGCTTGCTGCAGTGTCTCTACAATCCATCTGCTCCCCTGTGCCCGTGTCTACAACAGCAGCAGCACCAGCAGCAGCAGCAGCAGAACTCAACTCCCCCCCTCTGCTGCTGCAGCAGGCTCCCCCCACACTCTCAAGCGATCCTGGTGCTTCCCTACTACCCAGTGTCTCTCGAGCAAACGTACAAGCTGCAGCCTCAGGTGCAGCAGCAGCAGCAGCAGCAGCATCTGGAGCTGCTGCTGCTGCTGCTGGCGTGCCAGGGGCCCCCGAGGGGCCCCCTCCTGAGGCAACACGTAATCGCTTCAAGGGAGGAGGCACCACTACGGGGGCCCTCCGACCGCGTCTAGGCCCTGTGCAAGCTGCTGCTGCTGCTGGTGCTGCTGGTGCTGATGCAGCAGCACCAGCAGCAGCAGGTGACGCAGATGCAGATGATGGGCTACGCATCTTTGCACACGTACTGCCTTTTGCTGCAGCAAGTGCTGCTCCTGATGCTGCTGCTGCTGGCAGTGCTGGGGGCACCGCTGCTGCTGCTGCCGTTGGTGGTGTTCTTGTTGGTGCTTTTGCTGCTGCAGGTGCTGAAACTGCTGCAGGAGCTCCCGGCTTCTTTCTTGCTGCTGCTGTTGCTGCATTTGCTGCTGCGGGTGCAGCAGCAGCAGCAGCAGCAGAACTCACCACACCTCCAACTGGGGATGTAGAAGCAGCACCAGTTTGAGCCTTACGGCTATAGTTCTCAAGACTGGTATGTCGCGTATTGCTGCTGCTGCTGCTGCATGTGCTGCTGTTGCTGCTGCTGTTGTTGCTGCCGCTGTTGTTGCTGTTGTTATTGGCCCCTCTGTTCATCCCCTTAGGAGCGGGGGCCTCTACAGGAGGGCCCCCTCCCTTATTTGTTTTATTATTCTTTTTTAATGCCTTTAATTGTAGACGTCTTACATGATTGAATTGCTCTTCTGATAAAAAAGGAAGAATTGCAGTGTACCCTATAAAGGGATTTGCTGCATTTAGTGGTTTTCCTGGTAGTCCTAGAGGTTTGGGGCCTCCTGCTGCTGCTGCAGCAGCAGCAGCAGAGGATGATGCACCACCACCTTGCTGCTGCTGCTGCTGTCGTTGCTGGCGGGCAGTTGCCTGTGCTGCAGCTAAAGATAACAGAGAAGAAACCGACAGAGGGGCCCCAGGGCCCCCAGAAGGAGGGGCCCCACCTGCTCCTGTTAAGACGTTGGATGTTCGTGGTGGACTGCTGTTTCTCGCTGCCTCTGCCGCTGCTGCTGCTGCTGCTGCTGCGCCGGAAGCCTGGGACCCAAGGGGGCCCCCCGGTCCTGACTGGGTGGGCCCCCTCCAGGGCTCACTTGAACGACTACCAAACTGCAAATAATCCCTGACAGCTAACATAACTTCATTAAATTTATTCTCATCTACTGCTACCTCTGTAGAGGCCCCCAAAGCCGTCCTCTTAAGCAACCCGGCGCCCTGAGGGCCCCCTCCCATACTCATACCCATGGGGCCCCCGACCCCCAAAGGGCCTCCACCACCACGACCCGTTAGGGGGCCCCGACGGGCCCCCCCCAACAGTGCACACAAAGGCTGCTTCCTAGATGGCAACATTGGCATTGTACCATATTTCTCTACCCAGTTTATACGAATAACATATGCAGCTCCGGATACACCAGAGGAGGGGCCCCCTCCTACAGGGGCCCCCACCGGGGCCCCGACCCCTGCTGCAGTGCCTGGAGAACCCTGCTGCAGGGACCAAGCAGAAAGAATGTAAGAATAAGAAGGATCAGATGGCTGCACCCTATTTGATGCTCTAAGACGTACTGTACCCCCCACAGAATAAGAAGATCCTCCCCCTGATAGGGCACAAGGAAGGAGGTATATCCAGCCGCTGCTGCAGCCGTTGGGCTCAAGGAAGCCTGCACCAGCTGCAGCAGAGCCAGGACATGCAGCTTCTGGTCCTGATGCTGCAGATGCCGCTGCCGGCAACGCAGAAGCACCGCCACTGCCATCTGTGCTGCTGCCATTGGCAGCAGCAGCAGCAGCAGACTCTGCGTCGCGCATGCATGCACTGGCTAAAGCAGCAGCAAGTTCTGATGCAGCTTCAACTACCATCATATCCTGCTGTCGCATTAGCTGCAGATTCTTAAGAGGCAACAAATAGACAAAGTGGCGGGGGCCCTGTGTGGTGGCCCCCCACATCCCATGACCCGCTGCAGCACTGGGGCCCCCTTGTGCCCCTGCTGCAGCTGCTGCTGTTGCAGCAGCAGCAGCAGCTGGGGTGTCTGCAGCAGCATTCCTTGGTGTCGCTTCGTCCTTAACGGCTGTTGGAAGTCCTCCTGGCAGCCCCGTAGCCATTTGGCTGCCTGCTGCTGCTGTTTGCTGCTGCAGTTGCTGCTGCTGCTGCAAACGTGCATCTGCGAATTGACTCTGTGCAGAAGAAGAACGTGAGTCCTGTGAATCTCCTGCAGTTGCATTTCTTGCATCTGCAGCTGCTCCTGTTGCTGCTGCTGTTCCAGCAGCACCACCACCAGATGCAGCACCAGCTGCAGCATTGGAAGCAGCAGCAGATATAGCAGCAGCAGTAGCAGGAGGTAAATCATAATCTGCAGGATTAATACTTCTAATCATATCATCTAATCTTTTATTCTTAATAAGTTGACGGAAGGCAGAGCGGCAAAAAGGACAAACACGTTCTTGCTGCAGCCGCTGCTCTATGCATACTCTGCATGCACTGTTGCCGCAATTAGCAGCACATTTAATTAGCAGCGGCTGCCTCATTAAACCCTTACAGAAGCAGCATATCCATTCTCTTGGTACCTTTTGCTTACGGGGGCCCCCCCTCTGCCGCTGCTCTGCACTCTCCCATTCTGCTGCTGTTAATGAGGATCGTGCTTCGTGCTGCACCACCTGTACACCCTGGGGCCCCGCAAGTACCCTCCTCTGTATCACCACACGAGAGAATGCATGCACTTGCTGCTCATCTCCAACGGCCTCAACAAGCTCTTCCGTGCTGCTATTGCCGGCGCTGCTGCTGCTGCCAGCAGCAGCAGATACAGGAGAACCCTCACCTGACTTAGCGCATGCACGATTGCCTACAAGGAACAGACGTAAGTCTATCTTACGTCTATAGTCCCCGCTAAAGCCGCAATGACGAGCTAAGAGTTGTTTTAATTCTCCTACAGTTACAGAAGGTGTAGATATAGGACATTCGCGGTAGGCACCAGAGTGCTCAGAGATTAAGCGGAAATATATCAACATCTCCAATCCTGCTGCTGCTGCTGTTCTTGTTGTTATTGCTGCGGCTGCAGAAGGGGATGCAGCAGCTGCTGCTGCTGATGGGAATGCTGCCGTATGCTCCTGATGATGTTACCCTTATGCGATTTATTCAGCACCACCGCTAAGGAAATGAGGGCAACTACAGTGTAGAGATCGCCCTCTATAACAAAAAAAGAAGAAAAACTGCACAATGATTAAAGCCCCAACATATGCCACACTGCATAGGGAGGAGTATCAGTCATAGTGCATGCATAATGATACCCTTCCTCCTCTGCGTGCTGCTGCTGCTGCAGCTGCTGGTGTCAGCAAGAAGCCGTGGAGGAGTTGTTCCTCCCTTGCTTCCTCTGACGGCACAGTGCAAAAAGCAGAAGAAATAAAATAAAGTGGGCCTTCTTCTTTTGACGAACTTAGACAGGCAGACAGACACACGCCACCACCCGACAGGGAAAATACGAACGTGAATGGCGGCACAGCACAGCGGGCCCCACTTTGTTATATTAAGAAATCAAATATAGCAATGCTTACACTTCCTGCACGATTTGCAAGAAGAAAAACAGGGAATTCTTGAAGCAGTGCGCAGAAGAATGACGAAAAGCTGTTGTCGCTACAGCGCGCGAAAAAAGCTGCGAAGGAGCGCCGTAAGGATTTTTGCAGTGCGTCGGGTGTCTCGGCAGCTCTTAAAGTGCAATAAATCAGAGAAATAAACGGAAAGCTTCATCTCTTCGGAGTGAATGAACGAAAAGGATATTGCAGATCGTTCAAGTACCTCAGAGAAAGCCCCGCCGCTTCCCTCCCCGTGTTTAGCCGCCGTGTTCATGTTTCAGCGGCTGGGGGGCTGATCAGAGCTCCGTTTCTTCAAACAAGAGGGAACTAGATTTCTATTTGTGCTCTTTTACTCCTTTAGATATCTATTAGCGCTTGAGGCTTTGAAAATACCCCCTACAGAACGCCGGGGGTTCTGCTTTCCTTGCAGATCCAGCAGCGGCTCGGCAGCTTCGTCCTGTGTGTAGCTGTTCGCTGTTCTCTCGCCGTTATTTGGAGTTTTCACAAGGCTTGGTTGTTTTTCTTCTCTTTTTGCTTTGAAATAAATCCGTATTCTTTCAATTCCCCCTCTCTTAGATCATGAAGTCACGCGGTCTGTAGGGGCGGTGTAGCGTTGCAGCATCCGATCTGCTGGGTTATGCGCGGCCTTGCGTCGTCTCTCTCCAGCACTAACAACGTCTTTTCGTTATTTTCTGTAATATCGAATCTGAAGAAGGTCATTTAGGGGGAGTTCCTCCCCGGCGCCGCCTCTTATTACCTCTGGCGGTGCTGCGTTGACTGCAGCAGCCAACAACGTTGAAATTAGACCCAAGACGACAGCAGAGAGAGTATACCGCAGACAAAGAGTGGCCCCCAGTTATTATATTGGGCCATTTAGGGGATATTAGCTTCTCCTCCAGCTGCAGCAGGGCAGCTTGGTGGTGCCGGCAACACCCCTTCTTCCCCTGGTTGCTGCTGCTAATGCTGCAGTAGGAGAGAGCACCTGCAGGTGGCAGCAACTTTGAAAAGAAGAGCCGTGGGAAGACACACCGGCGTCTGTAGAGTCTGCTGTGTGTTGCTATATTTATATTATATTGAATTCGATGTAGTATAGGGCAGTTATCCTGCCTGCATGCATGCACATTTGAAGGTTTTACATTTATTTATACATACATACACTCTATCCACCCCCCCAAACTCTAAACCCTAAACCCTCTTAAGCGAAAATGTCAACGTTTCGTAGTGAGCCGATGGTGCGGGGCACAATGGTGCTCCCGTCTTCTTTGCCAATAGCCCATGAGATCCTAGAGAGAATAGGTCGTTTAGGGGCTGTGCAGTTTGTTGATATGCAAGCAAATGCATTAGTGCGCCCTTATAACAACTACATTCAACGTATAGAGGAGATGGAGCGCATCATTCGCTTCCTACAGGAGGAGATTCGTTGTCTAGAGGGAGGCCCAGGTGCTGCGCGCGCAGCAGCAGCAGCAGCAGCAGGTGCCGGGGGAGGCGCAGCAGCAACGGCAGCAAGGCATGAGGGTTCCCTTGTGGTGGTTGCTCCTGAGGGAGAAAAGAGTTTCCTAGATAACGGCCATGGGTATGTATTAGATAAGGTGGAGGAGGCTTTGAGTCGGCTGTATGGACAGTTCGTGTTGTTTAAGGGAAACAACACAAATATGCAGCAAGAGAAGAATTCTGCACTAGAAGAGCAGTGTGTGCTGAACGTGGCAGTGCAGCAGCTGCGTCAGGGTGGTGCTGCTGCTGCAGTACGTGGCCCTCTATCTGGTGCTGCTGCTCCTGGGGATGAAGGCTTTTTGGATGGGGAGGATGGTCACACATTATTGCAGCAGCAACAGCAGCAACCATTACCACTGCAGCAGCAGATGTCCTTAGAAGAAGGTCTTAGTCTTGGTCTTGGTGTACCTATGGGGAAGAATGTCCCTGTGTCAGCTGTATCAGCAGTTGCAGGTGTTATTGCAACAGAAGATATTTCGCGCTACCAACGTACATTATTTAGATCTACAAGAGGAAATGCATTTTCTTTCTTTCAATCTATTGAGCAACCATTTACAGACCCTAAGACAGGGCAACAGGTACACCGTAGTGTATTCGTTGTGTACCATCAAGGAAGCAGCCAGTCGCTCCTACACGAAAAAATCAAAAAGGTCGCAGAAGCATTCAATGGCCAGTGCTATGAATGGCCACAAACATTCAGAGAAGCAGAAGACAGGCTGCAGGGTACGATTGCTGCCGCTGTTGTTGTTGCTGTGCTGCTGCTTCTTCTGTTTCTACGGTGCTGTCGCTGTGCTTCTGCTATTTCTATGCTGTTGCTGTGGTGCTGCTGTTGTACTGCTGTTGTTTTGCCGCTGCTGTGGGTGTCAATTAATGTAAAGTTATGGCGATAAAATTGTCTTCTTTACGAATATTAACATGCAGCAGTTTTGTTATAATGATAAATTTATTGAATGACTGCGTGTTAATTGCATCGTCGTAACCCTAAACCCTAGATTATGCTGTTGTAAATTGAGTGTTTGTTGCTTGTGCTCTATTTGTTGTTGCTGCAGCTTTGAGTGATGTAATAAAAGACAAAGAGAAGGCATTAGCAGCCTATGAATATTATTTCTTAGGGGAAATATCTACTTTATTAGAAGTGCCTCGTGAGGGAGGCTCCTCTCTTATAGAGGAATGGCGCATGTTCTGTAGCAAAGAAAAAGCCATTTATGCCGCTCTTAACTGCTTCGAGGGTACTTCTTATAAACCCTAAACCCTAAAATTCCCATTGACCCTAGAACGACCCGAGGGTAGTCTTTTGCCGCCTCTGTTGTTCGTCTGCATGCATGCATGCATGCATGCGTGCATGCATACATGTTTCTTGTTGCTTAAGCTAGCTGCTGCTGTCTTTTAGCATCTGCTGCTGCTTTCCTTTTTCTTGTAGGCCATGATATGACCCTGCGGTGTACCTGCTGGATCCCCAAGAAGAATGAGGAGAAGGTGCGAAGCATTCTGCGCTCAATGGAGATGGAAGGAGAAGATCAGGTAAATTTTTCGCTCTACATACACCTGAATTGGCTACTGCAACAAGTCGACTGTAATTTGCTTATGCCGATGCTGCTGGTGCTGTTGCCTCTGAGTTTATTTTGAATATGCTTGTCCCCTTCTTTGACTGTTTTGTTTACCCATTAATCGAGTATACCCAGTTTTTTATTGTGCCGTTTTTCGGGTGTCTGCATTAGTTTTCTTTCCTTGGTTTCTTTGAATGTTCTGCTAACTCAAGTGCTTTCTTAGCATGTTGTATATGGCCTGTTGCTTTGTTTTCTTATTTTCTGTATTAAATATGCCCTCTTTTTTGTTGTGTTTCCTTTTAGGGATCTGCATTTCTTCTAACGGAGAAACATTTGCCTGCCGCGATGCCTCCCACCTACTTCAAGTCTACAGAGTTCACTGACCCTAGCCAAATGCTCGTAAGTAGAAAATGCCAATTAAATAGAAGCTTAGTGGTATACGCATATAGTAAATATACATGCATTATTAAACAGAAAAGGTACCACTGCAGATGCAAGCAGCAGCTAGAACCGTTTCATTAGCACTTACAAGTAAACAGTGCTTCGAAGGTGGAGTATAGAATATCCACACCCCACCAGCAGCAGTAGCAGCAGAGAGCGAGTATGAATCGGCAGCAGATATAATTGTTCAGTTAGTTGTACAGTCTGTCAGTGTTTCGTTATGTGTCGGTTTATGTATGCAGGTGGACACCTACGGTGTGCCTCGCTACGAAGAGGCGAACCCTGCATTTTTGACTTCTGTGACATTTCCGTTTTTATTTGGTGTGATGTATGGAGATATAGGGCACGGGGGGATCGTGTTTTTGTTGGGTTTATATTTAATGTTATTTAATAACCGCATAAAGCTTGGAGGGGGAATGTTTAGCAGTTTCCTACCTTTCCGTTACATGCTGACGCTGATGGGTTTCTTTGCCTTTTATGTTGGCTTTCTTTATAATGACGTCTTTGCTCTCGGGGTAGACATTTTTGGATCCAAATGGACAGAAGAAGGCGCAGAAGACCTCAATGGAAGTATCCGCATGAAACAAGTGGTAAGGCAATACACAAATTATAATGATAGGAGTAATCAAAAGATGATCGCTTTCCTCGTTTGTTGATGGTGGTGGTTATATTTATGGTGGTGGTGTTGATGTTGCTCATAATATGCTCGTCTTAACGATGCTGTTGTTACTGGCAGTAGTGATAATGATAATAATAATATTGCTAATAATAGTTGTTCCGATGATGATGTTGATGATGATTTTGCTGCTGATGGTTGTGTGGATTATGGTCATGCTGCTGACTGTGGAGTGTTGCGGCTTCTGCATTCGGCGCTGCTGTTGCTGACGCTGTAGCTGTTGTGAATTTGTTTTGTTGTTATGTATCTGTGTGTGCAGGGAGAGGATCCTTATCCGTTTGGTATCGATCCTGCATGGAAGGGGGCCACAAATGAGCTGTTGATGACGAACTCGATTAAGATGAAGCTGTCAGTGTTGGTCGCCGTTGTGCACATGGGGGTGGGTGTGATAATGAAGGGTTTGAATGCGTTGCATTTCAACGATATGTTGGATTTCTTCTTCGAGTTTATTCCCCAATTTGTATTTTTGACGGTTTTAATCGGCTACATGAACTTCATGGTAGTTTACAAATGGGTTACACCTTTAACGCACAACAAACCTAACCTCATCAGTGCCATCATCAACATGTGCATGATGGGGGAAGTAAAGCCTGAGGATCAATTGTACGCAAACCAGCAGACAGTTGAACGCGTTCTGCTGCTGCTCATCGTGCTTACTGTGCCCGTTATGCTGCTGGTTAAACCGACTATCTTGGTTATGCGCAAGAAGCGCGCTGACAAGGAGGCAGCAGCTGCTGCGGCCAAGAAGGAGCAGGAACTGCCACAGCAACTTCTAGAAGCAGGAGAGGGCGCTGCCGCTGCTTCAGCAGCAGCAGCATTACAGCAACAGCAGCATCATCATCAGGACGACCAGCACGAGGGGGGGAAGGACGATCACGAAGGAGCGGGTGCAGGCGATTTGTACATATTTCAGATGATTGAGACAATAGAGTTTGTGCTGGGGACGATATCGAATACAGCCTCATACTTACGCTTGTGGGCTTTGTCGCTTGCTCATCAGCAGCTGTCTTTAGTGTTCTACTCACAAACAGTTGTTCGTGCCCTCGAGCTGTCCGACAACACCGCTTTGGTGTCTGTTGTTTTGTTTTTTGTGTTTGCCTTGTTCGCCTTCATCACCTTTGGAGTCATTCTTTGCATGGATCTTCTCGAAGTGGCGCTGCATGCGCTTAGGCTGCAGTGGGTGGAGTTTCAGAACAAGTTCTTTAAGGGTGACGGGCACAAGTTCGCGCCTCTTGACTTCATGGTGGTGGTGCAGGCAAAGCCTAGTGGATAAATGCAACATATTATTTCATTATATTTACATTTTCTTATCTTGGGTCATTTCTTACCTATTTATACATGCATTTCATATATATTGTTATAATATCTATCGCAGCATGCTTCACAGAAGAACCAACGCATGCGATGCAGGCGGTGTGTACGCGTCTAAGACAGCAGCAAACAAACAGCTGAACTGTATGCAGGATAGGGCATTTTTATTTATGCCGTGATTCGAATTTCATCAGGGGAAAACCAACAAGTTCGTCGTGGTGTTGCTGCTCTAGGAATCCATGAGGAGGCGGGGCGGCTGTTAAGAGCTTCGAACGGCAGATGCACAGGCAACAGCAGGCGTGTGTGTGTTTGTGTGCCAGTAGTGTATCTGTTGTTTTTCTTGTATTTAGTAGTGTTCGCAGCCGCATGCGTGCATGCATATATGCATGCGTGCCTCCATCACTCACTTTCTTGTTTCTGTATCGTAAATGCAGAAGGGGTTTCAAGATGCTGCTGTGTGCAGCTCCTGACGATAGACATTGTTTGTCTCGCCTTGGCGACACAAACAAACGAAACCATCAGACAAATTAGGCACAGATCAATGAACAAATATAACACCATTCTGTAGGCAACTTCTCATCAGGAGAAAGAAGCCCCATTAGAGCGGAAGCAAAACAGAGCACAGGCATTCAGGCAGTTACTTGTTGCATTGCAGGTGTATAGCGCTACCTATATTTAGTGTATATTGTGTAAATACATAGGCTTAAATAGGGTTGACGCTTCGTAGAAGTTGGGCGAAATGCCGTTGTCAATTGCTGCCGCCGTCTTTGGGTTTGCAGCTGGGTTAGGCCTTCGGGCCTAGATAGGAAGAGGTGTTTAGGGTCTGGGGTCTACGATATGCGCAATAAGGTGGCATTTTGCTTCCTTGTGCAGCTACTCCCAGTGCGTATACATGCACGTGTATACATATAATATGGGATGCATATAGATATAATTGTTCGGTGATCTCCGAATAAGACGTTTGTTCCAGCATATGTTGGTAAATTCGGCAAGACTGTCGCGAGCTGGAACCCAACGTTAGTAGGCAGCCTACATGCTTGCAGAACTATGCAACAACTGTCTAGGGTGTTAGTGTATGGAGAGGAGAATAAGTGTTTATGCCTGCATGTGGGGCCGTCTTGCATCGTTAGTTTCAGCATCATGCGTTCCAAAAACAGATGAGTGTACGGGTTGCATTAGTTTAGGCAAACGAGCAACACAGAAGAACCTACGTGAGTAAAAATAAACAATGCAAAATAATATATTTGTTTCATAAGTAGTAGACACAGGTTGATCCGTTCTGCTGAATGTAATACACCGGACTGGTAGGCATTTGCAACTTTAGCAGAACGGATCAACCTTGCATCTCTTCCACCCCAATAAATAAAATTAACTATATAAACGTACTTATTACATAAATCTAAGTTTTATTTTAGCTCTTCTTGTCTATAAATATGCTTCGATTTGTGGGCCAAGTTTGTCTCGCGAAACGCAACAGCAGGCAGTTAGCCTACGCGGGTTTGCTGCTTGCGGTGAGGTGTCGGAGTCCTCGACTGGCTCACTGCAAGTAGAATTCAAGCTTAAGTGGCTTCAATGTACATAAAAGTAGTAGATAATTTCAGGTTTTTGAAACCGTTAGATGTTTTTTGTTACTAGTGGACAGGTGAGGCAGGAAGGGCTGCCTCCTGGCGGTCCTGCAGTACTACTTTCGGCAGTGTAGCTGCTTCCTGGGGCTGGGTGTCTTTGTACTGAATGAGATGGCATTAAGGTAACCGTCTATGGATCAATGAATTGTTCGTATTATTTATCGCTCAATGATTAGTTTACATTGAAGAGGGAACCATATTCCATTTCTCGCGGCCGGCGAGCGCTGCGCCTTGCTAGGAGGGTGGTCAGGCCTCTACTGCAAGAAGCGTGAGGCAATTCTTCTTTTGTTCTTTTGCTGCAGGTTTCTCTTCTTTGAGGCTGGAACCTGTTCCAATCCTTCTCTTCTGCAAAACACTCTTCTGAACAGCTCTAGGCTCAAGTTCCCTTGAGACCGTCGCTCCCGCATGCATTGCGTTCAGTCTAACCTCACCTGTCCGTCTGTGTGCTGGTCGTCTCTAGTTTACCCATTTGTTTCTTGCTTTTGGTGTCTCAAGCTATTTTTTTGTTTGCATTCGCTCTATGTACAGAAGGTGTAGCTGTGGCGCATTATTGTCCCTGGATCGCGGCACTTCAGGTTTCAGCGTTTCGCAGCCCGTACTGATCAGCTCGGATTTGGTCGTAGATGAGGCACAACTCCCCAGTTGATACTCTCAACAAAGAGTCGTTACTGTAGAGAGACCGAGTTTAAGCTATTTTAACTCTGAAGAGCCTACCGTCAGATGCGGAGTTTCTGCTGATATAACGGGAGCAAACGCACCGTCAAGTACTAAAATTTCATCATTTTGAAGGCGAGGAAGTTCATCATTAAATGCGGCACTTCAGAAGTTTCCTCTTGAGAAAGTTCAACTCCTGCAAAAGACTCTCAGCGGATACCAGAGTGTGCGAATTCAACAACCAATACAACGTCTCAGCGGTTACCACCTGGGAGAGTTCAACTGCAACAACACGAAACCAGAATTTCCCACGTGAGGAAGTTCATTGTCAGTCTCCTTCCATTCGTGCAAAAGTGTGATTTTTCTATTCCTCCGCCACGGCTATGACCCGTACGGCGGCGGATCGTCCCGCAACTCTAGCAACGGTTACGAGTTGGATGGGGCTGACAGCAGGTGTGCTTACTTTGATTTTGTGGTGTTTCCTGTTGCCTGCAAGCAAAGTACGTTTGTCTGTTGAGCCTGGGAACTTCTTGGGAGATGTGAATCAAGAACGGTGGCGGCAGGCGTTGTTCTCCTTTACCCCGGAGGTGTTTGTGGACGTTTGGACTCCGTTTATTTTCGGCACAATTTCCGTCGTTGCGCACTTCAGCAGCTTCGAGTTCTTCATCACTGGCGACTTCTTCCGCTTTTTCTTTTGGAATCTAATCATGGCGTTGTTCGGCAACTTAGGTTATGCAGGCGGCCTGGGCATCATCTGCGGCAGCTTCACGCTGCTTGTTGCATTCTTCTCTCTCGTCTGTCTCTGTGCATGCAACGGACCTGCGAAACTCAACTTAGACCCTTTTAGCAAGCAGGAACTCCTCGACTTCTGAGAAAACAGAGGCGGGTATAAGGAGGAGGCATCTCCGCATAGAAGAAAAAAAATACAAGGTAAACGCTCGGCTGGTGTTTTTAGGTGCCTTTCAGCCACAAGAGGTGCGTGGGTGGGGGCTGTAAACCCTAGACCCCAACAAAGCCTTCCCTGATCAGGAACTAGTTGCTCTCAGGTTAGGGTTTAGTGTTTAGGCTGAACGTCCTTAATGTGACAAAAGGGACGCTGCAGATGGGCCGCGCATTTTGGAGGGCCTTTTCTGCTGATTGCAGTTTTGCTTACAAGAGGCAAAGCACAGCACAAACAAGGAATATCGAAGTAAATTGTTTGAGCTCGAGTGGTGGAAGCATGGAAACAATTGGGGGGAAGGGCGGAGGGATCACAGACACCAGAGCGAGGCGCACGTGAAACACGTAAGCGGGGAGTGGGGGAGGAACACATTAATACATACATGTATATGTAGATAAATTAATAGATTTACGGGAGGTCGAGGCGAGTAATTCGCCCAGCTAGCACTCATAGGTGGGAACAAGAGCAAATTGTACATGCATGTATTGCGCCATTGTTAATGGACAAATAGCGGGTCAGTATTGAATACCAATAAGGTGGCACTCTCTTTATTAACGGGGTTTAAGTACCGTCTATTAGCACGACGAAGTGGTGCATAGTTAAACAGCCACTTATTGAAGGTGCATGTTGAAGGTGCATGTACTATAGTCTCTTGATTACTCTTATTTGGCTTCGTTTGGTCGTCTATAGGACATAAGGGGGTTAGAGGTTGAGCTTTATATCCACAAGAAGTTTCTGCTATATGTAGTGCTGGTTTCGCGTGTGCCTGAGCATGCGCTGTGGGCGGAGGTCTCTTGTTACTTCATTAGCTGCTACTTCTCTAAATCGTATGTTGAACAATAAACTGTATTTTGAACGAAAATAATTAAAGTAAACGATTCTTCTCGGCAGGAGGACAGCAACTCTGCGCGCAACACTGGCTGGCCAATGGTCTGTCTGCCACTCTTTGTAGGGCCTTCCTGGCAGGGGCGTCCCCAGCATTGCAAAGAGATTGTTATATGCACTTGCACAAAGGATTAACTGGACTGAGTTGTCATCTAAAAAGTATTCTCAGAGATAGGGAAGCAAAGAGAGAAACCCAAACTAGCTAGCCGCTGTTAAGGACCAGTGGAGCGGAGCCCATTAAGGGACTTAACAGCTGGATATGCTCAGCAGTTACCACAATATCTCAATCTGTATTTAAATAAATGCATTTTGCATAATACATTTGGTTCAGATCTTCATCTTTTTGTGCCCATCCCTGTCCAGCGCTTGGACGGCAGTCGGCGGCGCCGCCCTAGCCACCGCCCCCTCTTATTGCTTTGACCCTCTTTGACCATTTATTTCTTCTTTTTGTAAATTTTTGTCATTTACGCGAATGCATCTAAAGAATTTTACATTTATTATGTTTTCTTTTTCTCGGTGAATGCCTGGTGTTGCTTGTGAGTCTCCCTGCAACAAACGGCATCGTGTGCGTCTTCTGGAGTGTTTTGGGGTGTTTTAGTGTTTAATTCAAATTATTTCTCTCCTACCTTTCATTATTTACAACTGCTGGATTGTACTAGAGCTACTGCTGAGGCGGCTGCCGCCCATAGACTGTATCGATGAATCGAGGTCACCTGCTTGGGGGGAGGAGTTCCCCCCCCATCAGCTGCAGCCGGAGACAGCTCACCGGGCCCACAGGGATGTCCTCAGGTGTCTGTACAGCTTCGGGTTTGTTGAGTCGACTCTATAGTCGCCAGGTACATGTGGCGCCACCGTGTACCCGTGTTATTTCTTGTGAGAGGAAGGCACCAGAAATGGTGCCTGAAGAGTTGCTGTCGATGTTTAAAGAACTCTCAATGGACGGCAAATTGCCTCATATACTCGAAAGAACAACACAAGAAAATACAGAGGCTTCTCTCCAACTGGCGCGCCTTCAAAGAGAAAAAGAATGGGTGAGAACAGAGACAAATACACAACAGCAGACAGCTATAAGGGCAGGGCAGAGAGAGAGAGAGACAGCGTAACAGAGCTAAAGACATGGAGACACCTAGAGGAGGGACAGAGGTAGATCACTAGAGAGGGAGACACGACCACAGTTGAGGCACAGAGACACAAAGGGCGTGTAGAAGAGAACAACAGAGAGACAGACGCAACACAGATGCAGCACAGGGCTGAAGAGGCCAGACACCAGGGTAGAGAGAGGGAAGGAGGCAGATAATAAAAGTTAATAAGAGGACAATCTGTGTTATTTTTCTCTTCTCTTTCCCCTTTTAGTTGGAGTTGCGACTAACCAAAAGAAGAAAAGATATTCAATTGGAGCGCTCGCAAGTGGAGGCACTCGGCCAGCAGATCTCTGCCATTGAAAGGAAATTACAGGTGCGCCTCAAGCCCTAAACCCTAAACCCTAAACCATGGGTATTTGTTTGCTGCCTCCCTCTGTTACACCTCCAACTCTCTACTCTATTGCTTCAAGAGAGACAACTACTTGTGATTATTAAGAGGCACCAGGAGAAGTGCTGCGTAGGTGTTTAGGGTTTAGGGTTTACGCGTATCCACATCTGCAGCAGAAGACTGGAGTTGGTTTATTTATCTCCTTTTCATGCAGCGCAACAAAGAGGCAAATAAAAGGGTTTGGAGAGAGCAGAGACACCTGGAGGCAACAAGAGCTACTCTAGAGGAAGTTAACAGTACCCTACAGAGAGGTATGTCGAGCGTACCCTAAACCCTAAAATAGGGTTTGCTCGGTGACTAGGGTTTAGGAAGAGCACTTCGAGAATCCAACGGATCCTGCGAGTTGAATAATTAATTAACTAATTAATTAATTAATTAAACTTGCCGTGTCTTCTGTTTCTGTTCTTGCAGAAAAGAAAAATATTACACAAGAATATCTTGAGGTAGGTGCTTGAAGATTATGCCTTCATGGCTATAGTTTAGGGTTTACGGTTTAAGTCTTTAAGGTTAGAGTTTAGGGTTTAGGGTTTAGGGTGTATAAATGAGGGTTTAGGCTTAGAGTCTAGGGTTAGGGTTTAGGAAATTTGTGGGGTTTTGCTGCTGCACAGTGGGTGGAGAAGAAGAATGAATTTGTTGCGGAGACAGCAAAAGAGAGGAGACAGGCGGATGTTGTAAGGGTGAGTAAATAATAAAGGAAGACAGCATAATATAGTTATAAAAAAGGGGACACAAGGAGACACAGAGAGGGGGAGAGAGAGGAAGAGACACAAAGGAGACAGAGATAGGAGATAGGGACAAACACCTCCGTTGTTAGTGGCTTAGTGTTCATGTTCCTTATTGCCAACAAAAAAACAATAAAAAGGGTTTAGGGTTTAGGGTTTGTGGGTGTTATGCTACTACAGAGACAAAGAGGGAAACAAGTTAAAGGATTGCTGAGGGCATTAAATAGGGAGTCTCGTCTCCAAGTAGAGAGAGACATATTGGTAGGTTATAGACAGGAGGCAGGAGGAGAGACAGGAGGAGACATAAGGAGACAGGAGGAGACACTCATCATCATATGCGGTGTATTGTCATCTCTTTTCCTGTTTTAGCTGCTCTTGATAGCTGACTATACACCCGATATCAGCCCCACTTTGTTCCTCTTTGCATGCAACTCTGCATGCACTGTCTTTGTTTTTACTTTTTTCTTTTTCTCCCACTTTGCTCTTCTTACTTCTTTTTCTTCCTTCTGTCTCCCTTTGCTATCTGCAGCGGCCCTTCGGCGGCTGTCTCCGCATACAGCCGACGACGAGGCCAACAAGGAAGGCGAGGAGACCGCAGCACAGAGAAGCAGCAGCAGAGTTAACCGAGCCCTCTCCCCACCCCACCCCCCACCCGCAAACCCTAAACCCTTAACTAAACCCTAAACCCTAACCCTAACCCTAAACATTAGACTCACTTACAGCGCGGCTCTACCGCTGCCCCTAAACCCTAAACCTAATAAGGGAACTTTAACAGCAATAAACCCTAAACACTTCTGAGGGTTCGTCCTAACAATGGCAGTAGACAGTGCCACTGCATCTAAACCCTAAACCCTAAACCCTAAACCCCACACCCCAAACTCCTCTGCAGCTAAGCCGCAGACGGATTTGTTAACGAGGGTCTAAGCAGCAGCATCTGCTGCTGCAGCAGTTGCTTGGAGACAGGGTAATCGTCCACTTTAAGTGTTAGCTGAATTGCTGAATTCTTTAGCAAAAATAATTTAAGTTTGAATAAATTAAAACAAATTCTTAAAACAATTCCCCTCCTGCAGCAGCAGCAGCAGGAGAGAGAGACAGTGGGGAGGAGAAGGGAACTGTATATTCTTTATACATGTATATTGTAATGAGGGTCCTCCAGCTGTACGTACAGCTTAGCAGTTCCGCTTCCTGCCTGCTGCTGCTACCCCTGAGGTGTCTGTACACCTCAGAACTGCAGCGGCGACTTCTCGTGCATAGCGAAGAGACGCGCCTGCAGCCAAAGTTTCCCTGCAAGGAAATGAGGATCTTGTTGACTAACAGGTGTATCTGAAGGAGGGAGGAGGGCATCTATTGCCCTTTTTATTGTCTCTCTTTCCTTATTAGGAGACAGCAGCAGACGGCGCAATGCAGGCAACACCACCGCCTTGTCCCCCCAAGACATCTGCAACAACTTCCCTTTCTCTCCTGAATGATTCCCTCCTTCAATATAAGCAGCAAGCTGCTCCGCTTCCTTCAACAACACCGCCCCAGACCCTTCTGCAGGGGGGGGCCCCGGGGGGCCCCCCAACCCGCTGCCCTGTGCAGGACCTTCCCCCCCTTCCATACTGAAGGTTGGCTCAACTGCATGCAGCAGAAGCAGCAGCAGCAGCTGCTGCTGCTGCTGGCGACTAGAGCAAGGAAACCTTCTCCTTTCGAGCTTGAGTTTTGAATACACCCGAAAGACTCCTCACAATGTCTCCTTACAAGAGCGAGTTAGATTCCTTTTAAAGGGAAATTGTCAGGTTTGCCCCCGTCTAAAGTCAAGGGGAGAGGGATGGAGAGAGGGGCCTCCTTCAGGTCGAGGGGGGCCCCCCTAGCAGCAGGTTACGAGGTGTTGCGGTGTATGTACACTCCACCGCCGCCCCAGCAACGGGTGAGTCCACAAGAAAAGCAGGAAGTGGTGACCCTAAGGCCAGCAGGTACACGAAGACGACGGGTGTTGGGGAGTGTGGCAGATCTCGGGTGTACGTACAGCTCACTTGCGAGAGATGGGGGGGAAACGGGGTAAAAAAAGAAAGAAGAAATTGAATCTGTACGTTGACAGGGAGATGTAGATGCTGTAAATGTATTTTTCTTTAATTCAATTTAACAAGGAACCAAAGAAGGATGACGAGCAGCAACCTACAATGCAGCATCAGCAGTGCAAGGGCACTGCTGCTGGTCTCGTGCTGCAGGAGCGTCAGCAGGAGCTGCTGCTGTGTTGCTGGAGTTGCTGCCGATGTTCACCTGTGTTTTCTTCCCCCTTTCTTTATTTTAGGAATTTACATGCAGCTCAGAGACAATAAATATATTAAAGTGTGGGCGGTGGCTCTCATCAGCAGCTTCTAACTGGGGCAGTGCCGATACACTCGGCTGCTGCCACTGCCGCTGCCGCTGCCGCTGCCGCTGCTGCTGCTGCTGCTACTCGGTTAGGCCAGCCAACGTTCCTTCGAGTGTCTCCGTTTCTTTCTGCGGAGTCTTTCAGCTTCTCCCCGACCTTGACGCCCGGAGCCGCCACTGCTGCTGCTGTTGTTGCTGCTGGAGCTGGAGCTGCTGCAGGGGCTGCCGGCAGCCGCCACCGGCACAGCAGTAGCAGCTGGCTCGCTAGCAGCAGCGTGACAACGAACAACAACGGGAGCAGCAGCAGCGTATGCAACAGAAGTTGCTGTATCAGTCTCAGCAGCGCGTAACGGAGCAGTCTCTGCTATCTCGCTCTTGAGCTAGCGCTTGCTGCTTCTAGGCAGAGCCAGGCGTGGGGGATTGGCAGTACCCTAGTTTCCCCTAAAGGTTAGATTTGGAGGCCCCTGAGGGCCCTGTGGGGGCCCCCGTGGCCAATAGAGCTGGTGTGAGGTGTCTGCTACCCCTTGTCGTATCAACGGCTAAAAAGTATTGCTGCAGTAGTACTGACTGAAGGAAGCTTGTTGCAGCTGTGGTGTCTGTACACCTCAATTATTGAAGATGTCTTTCTTCACATCCAGCTCGATGGATAAACTGGGGTCGCGTCTTGCCTCCATTGTCTCCACTGCATCGGAGAAGGTCAAGGAGGCGGCAGAGAGGACGTGAGGATACACCTGAATACTATATATAACCTATATTGCATTATATAATATATTATACTATACCCTCCTTCTTATTAACTATCATAAAGGGATTTCTTATCAACTTGTTTCCTTCTTGTTGCTGCTCGCTTATCTATACACACAAAGCCATCCTTCTGTCCAGCATCATCATCACCACTCCTGCTGCTGCTGCTGCTGTTGCTGCTGCTGCTGCTTGGGTCTGCAGCCTTACAAAAGAAACTCCTCTGGAGCGCAATCTAAGGGAAGCAGTCAGCGACAAGAATTGGGGATGTCCGACATCAATTCTTGCAGAGATCGCGCGCGCCTCTCACAACTTGTGCGTTATTTTTTCTTTTTTTTTTTTTTTCTTTTTTCTTGTTCTTTCCACCCCATATAGTAGTGTTATTATATTTTATTACTTCTTTTGTTTACTTCTTCTCGTCATGTTCATTTATTTTATGTATTATTCCCTTATGTATATATTATTATGTGTATATATAGAGGCATATTCCCTTCGTCTTTTATAAAGAAAAGACATTCTTGCTCTGTAACCTCGGCCTCCTTCTATTCTTTTATTGTTTGCATAGTAGTTGGCCCTTTTTCCTTGTCTATCTCTGTTGCGTCTGTCTATTGCCGCGGCGGTTTCTCCTCTACTTCCTGCTGTCTGTACACGTCAGTCCCCGTACAGCCTCTCGTGCGTCTGCATATACAGACACAGCGATAGGAGACACCTCGTCTGTCTCTGTCTCTGTGGAGAGTTTCTTTCTTTTGCGCCATATCTTGGTTCTTGCCTTTCTCATTTGTTCTTTGTCTTTTCTTGGTTGCTACATGTGTACACCATGTCTCTTTATATCTGTCCCTATCTATAATCCTTTACATTGTTGTTGTGTGTCCCTCTGCCTTCTTTGTCATCTGTGTGGGGGGTTTCGTTGTGTGCCGCAAGACCATGTGTGCGGGTGTGTCTTTTTGTGTTTGTGTCTGTGGAGGGTGTCTGCTGCATCTGCTGCTCTTGCGTGTTGCGGTGTATGTACACCTCAGCCTCGACTTCCCTGTTATATCCCGCACCATGTGGGCTGCTATTTCTGAGGCCCCTAAACGTTGGCGCAAAATCTTTAAGGTTCGTCTTTAGTATGCGGGACGTAGTTCGGGTGTACAGACACCTCTCGTGCAGGCAGACAGGCAAACATGTTGCCGCTGTACACGCAGATGTTACAAACACAAACGCTCAAGCAGAAGCAGCAGCAGAGCAAAAGCAACATCAATGGGAACAACGAGAGCAGCAGCAGCAGCACGGGGAGCAGCAGCATCAGCAGCAATAGCAGCAAGAGTGTGGTTGCAGTCTAGGAGTTCCTTTTGTTTGTCTTATTTGTTGTATTTGCTGCTAATCAGGGGTTAACTATGTTGGAGTACATGCTAAAGAATGGACCCGAGAGGTTCGCTGAAGAAGCACGAGACAGAACTTATCTACTCAAGTCCCTACAGAGCTTCAGCTGGTCCGAAGAGGGAAGGGATAAAGGGGCAGGCAGTAAGCACAAACAAGCATGCATGCATGCATGCAGTTGAATGCATCCAACTGCATGCATCCAACTGCATGCAAAACTCCTCCGTTTCCATGCATGCATACACAATCTTGCTAACATGTACGCATACGTGCACACACGCATGAATGCGTTGAGCTGTTTGGGTGTCCCTTCTGGCTGCATGCCTTTGCCAGACATTCTGTATCTCTCCGTCTATATACTGTCTCCTCAGTCGGCTTGTGTCCTTTGGGCAACAGCAGCAGCAGCAACAACAGCAACAGCGTTGTGGGGATGTGTATATGCTGTTCAGTTCGGGAGAAAGCAGGGCTCTGCACAACGTTGGTATTTGACGCTGAGGAGCTGAAGGCAGCTCGAGAGACAGCAGCAAAAAACAGAGACAAATACATTGGCATATCCTCGGCTTCTTCTATGGTCCCCCGCAGCAGCAGCAGTAGCAGTAGCAGCAGCAGCATCAGGGGACAGACAACAGCAGTTGGATTTGGCAGCAGCACGAAGCCTTCTCCATCTCCGCAGAGAGACACGTACGTCTGCCAAGGCTGAACACTGTAGTTTTGCTTGGATTTTCCATTAAATTAGATGAACATAGTTGCAAATAATGGGTTTAAGTAAGGCCCAGGGTCCAGGGTTTAGGGGTTTTGTGCTGCAGCAGCCGAGGTGAGTCAGCCGCGCCGCCGACAGTTGCATCTCGTTCGTCATCGGGGAAAGAGAAGACAGGCTCCTCAGGGAAGAAGGGGGGCAGCAAGAAGAGTGACAGCGGCCCCTCAGCTGGTGCCAAGCCCACGGAGCAGAAGTCTGCGGTGTACGTGCACCTCAACTACTTGCTCCGGCACTTGCACAGATGCATGCACCCAGTGCTTCGTGTTTAAACCGAAGTTATTCCTCTCCTTGTACACACACAAGACATCGGACTCCGCTGTTATCTCCTGCAGATGCAGTGACTTCCGGTGTTGTCTGCCACTAGTGTTGCTGCTGGTGACTTTTGTGCTGCTGAGCATGTTGGTTTTTGGGGTGTACAGACAGCAAGCAGACTTACTTGGATTTGACAGCCCACCTCTTGGACAGCAAGAGGCGCCAGCGGCCCCTTCTCCCTTTGCTTCAGGTGACTGTTGCATGCATGCGTCTTGTGTGGGGTTGCATGCATGCTTGTTGGGAACAACACCGTATATGCATGCGCTTCTCACTATATCTCCTGCGATAAAAACCTACGCCTGAGAAGCCCTCGAGACTGGCTGCAGCAAATACGTAGTCGAGCCCTGAACAATCGTACTACATTGCAAGAATTCCCGGGGTTTTTATAGGGGAAGAATATATTTTATTTTCCGGTGAATTTGGTGTGTATGCAGGGACGAGCGTTTGGGGGGAGCAAGTCGTTTCCTCAGGCGCCGCGGAGGGAGCAGGCAGCAGCAGCAGCAGCGGCCTTGGTGGCTTCTTCCTTCCTCCTCCCCCAGGGACCAGTGTGCCCGTAGGCAGCAGCAGCAGCAGCAGCAGCAGCAATGGCGCAGGGAGAGGGGTCCCCGCAGACGTTGCAGGCAACAGTAGCAGCAGCAGCAGTGATGATTTGTTCGGGGGGTTTCAAGCGGCAGCTCCAACCCCCACGACTACTGCTACAGGGGCGATATCAGGAAGTAGCAACAGCCTGGATGCTGTTGCTGCTGCCTTTGCTGCTCCCACAGCTCCTGCTGCTGCTCCCCAATGGAGCAATGGTGAGATCCCTTCACATTACGTGCTCTGGCTGCTGCTTCAACTGTCGTTTGAGCTGTTGCTTCAGTTGCTGCGTCTTCTCTGTCTCCATCCCCATGACCTCTTATTGAATTCATATCTTCGTCATTGCTGTTACTGTTGCCGCTGCCGGTTGCATGTTTCAGGGGTTGGAGGGGTCGGAGGTGGTTTCGCATCTACTCTTGAAGGACTCAGCGGCTTCAATGCAACGCCAGCGGGTAAGGAGGAACGCCAAGAGCAAGCAGGCAGTTAGTGACTTTTGTTTTGTTGCTGAGTCCCTGCTTCCCAATACCGCGGGGTGCAGATATTTGCGCGTTATGCTGCCGCTGCAGGCGCTGCCGATGCAGGAAAGGGGGCGCAGGGCGCTGCTGCTGCAGCGCCGCAGCTGCAACAATGGCAGCAGCCATTCACCATGGGCAACAATAGCAGCAGCACCAGCAGCAGCAACAGCAACGCTCTCGCGTCGCCTCAGGCTTTCACCCTGAGCAGCAGCAGCAACAGTAGCAATAGCAGCAGCAGCATGAATATCCCCCAGCCATTTAGCCTGAGCGGCAACAGCAATGCCACCTCACAGCCGTTTTCTCTGGGCAGCAGCAACAGCAGCGGCACGCAGCCACCCAGTATGGGCACAGCGGCAGCAGCGCCGCAGCCTTTCTCCCTGGCGGGAATGTCGTCACAGCCCTGGCAGCAGCAGCAACAGCAGGCTGCTCCAAACTTTGCCTCGGGACAGCCCAGCCTATTCTAGCTCAGGGGCAAAGGGACGAAGGCCTATGGGTGCAGTAGCGCATGATGCAGCAGCAGCAGCGGTCCTTGCTGCGGTGGTGCTCCATTTAGAGTAGCCGTTGCAGATTTTGGACGGCAACGTGGAATGTAGCTGCAGCGGGTGCTGCTGCGAGCTGCTGCGGTGCTGCCATAGCAGCACGTGCTTCGGCAGCAGAAGCAGCAGCAGCAATGAACGCGTTGCAACCACAGACAGGCATGTGCAGCCTTTTAGATATTTATTCGTGCATTGAATTACACCTTGTGTTCGTTGGGCGCCAGCAGCAGCTTATCTGTAGCTAGTTAGACTACTCACACAGTTCAACGGGCCGTATATCTAACTGAGAGCTTCCTGCTCCCAAGAGAAACAGGCAATACTGCTGCTACGAGTGCTGTTGCTGCAGAGCCAGTTGGAGTAGCGTAGGCATTTCGGATGCGGATGAGAAAGAGAGTCTCAGCTTAAAAACCTTGCTGTTCCCCTACCTCGACATATTTATAAAGGGCGCTGTTGGGGCATTGGGTCTTGTCCGGCTGTCTACTGCAGCCGGCAGCCCCATCAGCAGCAGCCACCGCTGCGGATATAGCAGTACTCTGCTGCTGCTGCTGCTGTACAGTTGCTGCGTGGTGCCATTACCAGTGCATCTGGCGTAGCTTCTGGCCGTCGACTTTTACTGTCGACACCCTGAATGCGGAGGTGGTGTGGATACACCTGGGTTGTGTAGATGGCCTACGAGTACAGGAGCACTGCGCTCATCATAACGCAGATGATGCCGAGAAATTCGAGGAAACCCATTCCAATCAAAGTGTATGTGAAGAGATCTTCCTTGATTGAAGGGTTCCTTGCTGTTCCCGAAACTAAAGCAGCAAACAGGGATCCGATCCCCTGTGCAACCCCCCCGACAGACATCAACGCCACTGCAGCAGACAGGGTGGCCACTCCTGCCTCATGGCGAACCGCTCCGTATTGAGACAACACCGTAGAAGGCTGCAAACAGACAAGCAAAAAACTATACAGAGACGAATGGAACAGGGAAGTGCATTCACACATGCGTGACCCTTTCTTCCGCACATAGGTCAGTCAAGTGTGGCAAGCCTCAGATGCAGCTGTCTTGGCACTGGTCTCACACACACAGAGGAGGAACCGACGAAGGAACTCTCCTGGGATACGTATTTGTGTACATGAAGCGGGAATGGACCGGAGTTCACGTAATAAAGCCATAAAGAGACGGAAACTGTCTCAGCCAGCCCTAGTGCACGGGGACCAACAGTTAGGGATGGAAATTGAATCACCGGGACGACGACAGACGACCACGGAAACTACACAATTAGCAAATCCAAAAAAAAAGCATTTACAAGCAGAGACACTCAACCACAGCAGTACTGCAGCGAATATGGCCACGACCAATGGACGTGCGAGCGACGATGTTAATGATGGGATCCGTCCGTCTCGAGTTCTCTATGAGAGCCACTTTACATAACAGCCTTATCTACAGGGTGTATAAGAATTACGGACACAGAAATAGGCTGTTTGTTGTGTCTTACGGTCTTGCTCAGGGGTGCCAGGCTTGCCTGGGGCAAACGGCCTGCAGGGGGCTGCGGGATTGCGCTGTGTCGCTGTAAGAGAGGGACTGTACTGAGAGAGCGAGCACAAAGAGAAGGGGAAATAAACCCAAAAACTGAAGAAGTTGGGTTGGCGTGGGATGCGGAGAGAGAAAGGGCCCGACGACAGACACAGGGGGGCACAAACATCATGCGAGCGGGGACAAAGAAAGCCATTTCCGCTGACTTGCCGAGTTCAAACAAATCTCCTATATATAAGCAACAGAACTAGTCACTCATATTTGTTCCTGCGTTCTTAACTTCACAACACAGCCCGCTTCGAGCACACGGAACACGAGGGAACCACAACACAGCCCCACGCACCCAAGCGGCTGCAGCTCCGCGTCTTCTCTCTCTTTCTCTCTAAGAATAGACGCTTATTTACGTACAAGCTTTTCAACGAAGAATTTTTGTGAATGTAGAACACGTTTAGTGGGCGCATTAACGACACTAGCGACTCTGGCCTTCACACCCAGCTAGCAGACACGAGTTACTGGAGCAACACAGGCAACGCGTCTGCAGTTGCGTGTCGTTTTTTTTCCGTTATGTATCAACAGAAGCTATGACTATCAAGCAACGTTGTACTAATCTACTTCCATTAACTGTGGCGAACGCCACGCTTGTGGATATCTCAGGGTTTCGTACATGGAGCCAGGCAGTCGTAGCAGGCGAGTTCCTTAGAGGAAGTTACTTCGTATTCTTAGTACATTTATACTTGCTAGCCCTTAAATTGGACTAATTAGAGTTGTATCAGCTATATTACGTGGTGATAATACTCTGCTATAAGCACCCCAGAAGAAGTTAACATCAGTATTTTTATAAACTCCAGTAAACGGCGACTACTTTCTAAGTATTTTGTTTCTCTGATCTAGCACAGTCTGCGCGATGCTGGCAAATGTACCCGAGGTGAGCATATGTGCCCCTATATCGCCCTAGTAGGCAAAGGGTACTCAAGGAACAGCCCTGAAGAACGGTGCACAGTGTTCGCCAATTCAGCCAAGGAGGCGTAGGTGTATTTGTATGTGGGGATGTCTTGCACATTCAATTTGCAGCAAGGGGAGCAGGAACTCATGTCAGGTCACTCCTTTCTCATAGGACCTCGGCTTGAGCAGCTGATCTCATCGCCTTCAGGCTAGGTATAATTGCCAAATGTTTTAAAGAAGCTCTCACATTAAGTATTATTGTTTCAATACAGCTCACACTACCCCTCCGATACGATCCAAACACCGCGTTGCATTAATGAATAGGATTGTGACATAATCTGCAGCATAGTGCGTCCGATGATGGCAAGTCCGTTTGAAGTTGGTGCTTGGAACGCAGCATAGCTCCAGTGGGCAAACGGTAAGGGAAAGGAAGTTGCAACACTGGTCTCAGTATACATGCACGCAGCTAGCAAGCCTACTTGTGACTGCATATTGGGCTGTATTCGAATTCGATATATGGGAACCATAGAGAAAAATAAACAATTTTCCAGGTGCATCCGGCTATGAAGAATTTTCGCCTTCCCTCCTACTGTAGACACGGTCCTCGCGGTGGGCTAGCAGCCTCTGAAAGCGAACTGCTTGCCTAATCTGATTTGACTCTTCAGTTTGAACCGGACAAGTGGCCGATTCTGTTGGCATCATATTAAAAGGGGAAGTATGACACTTGTGATTTGGTCTAAGAAGCGGTACAATTTTGCCGGCTGCATTGGAACTACGGACCCTGATGACTGTTTAAACCCATACTACAACGTAGCTTAACCGGCAAGCTGGCAAGCGGGAATGTTGATGCAGAATTAAGGAGGACCAGTAGATGTATAGATAAAACGCTACATATGGAAGTGAAGCTACCTGCTGAAAAGAAGTTCAACTGTAAACAAGGCTTCTTTATCACGGGTTGTTCGCAAGGATGCCCCGTCGAGAGGGGCGACCCTTGCTTGGAAATCGCAGGTAGAACTGTGGGATGAAACAATGGATTTAGCCTGAAGAAATGGCTAAGCATTCGCCAGATATCCCTGAAGTATCAGGAAGAGACTTTTCGTGATGTGGATAGCACTTTCACAAGTAACTCGGGTCCCTCTTCAGGTAGGTTAGTTGCACGGTGCGGTTACCACCTAGCCTCGTTTCCTCTTAAATCACGTGGCGCTATGAAGTGGTGTGTCTGCCTCAGTTGTGTTATTCTCAGGTTTGAGGTGTTGCTCTGCTCGCGATTGCAAGGTTGGAATAATCCGCAGGATTATAGCGTGATTATGGATCTCATATGCATTCGGTATTAAAGTGTTCTTACCGCGAACAGCAGTGCACACTAAAGTGGTGGATATGACAAGAAAACCCCATGTTGTTTGCCAGTGTAGTATTTTTGTGTTTATTTTACACAGCCAATTCGTATGTTGTTTAGAGGGTCTAATTTGCTAAGTAGATAGAAGAGGCCGTTTTTGTAGTGGACGGGCAAGGGTCCCCCGTAAGGCGTCTAAAGGCCTGCCATCGGAAAGAGCATCACAATGGATAGCATTAGCTAGGAAATAGCTCAACTTAGGACGGAATTACGGGCTTCAGGACTCTACTTCCCTGCAGCCGGCCGAGCCGGTGGGACAGCTCGCATGCCAGCGAGGGGTGGCCGAGACAATGAACTGCTAGAGGGGGGTCAGGGTGTTCACATCTAGTTAAGACTTCCTTATCCTCGTACATATTGACTGAAATTTGCGTATTGGTTATATAAGCTTGATTAAGGCTATTTTAGGGGTTAGGAGAATCGGGTTGTATTGCATAACAATTCTGGTACACCCTTAGCTTGATCTGTGAAAGTACGCTGTCGTAGCAGAATGAGATGCGTGGAATACACTTTAGCTGCGTAGCAGCGTACGGCTTGGGCTTGTTGACTTCTGCGTTGGTTTGTGTGCACAATATCTTTACTTCAAGGTACAACTATTGAGGTGTAAGGTTAGGAACTAATCCCAATGAGGCAAAGGAAGAAGTCTGGTATTCGTAAACATTATGTGTCCTCCGGCTTCACGTATTGGGACTCCGGGGCTTGGGGCTTTGGGGCTTTTGAATTTGGGACTTTGGGGCGGATGCTCCCCAAATTCCCAAATTAAAAAGCCCTAGATGCAAACAGTCCGGGGCCGATTGAAGTTTTTACCCCCCAATGGGGAATAACAGAATAGTAATACTGCTTAATCTCGAGAACACATTTGACCTCAAATTCCTTAGAGAAGGCCCGAATGCGGCTGTCACTCGGCGTTTGCTCCAACCCAGTGTCATGTGTAATGCGACCAGAGCATCCCCCGCTGGTCTAGGGGACAATACAGACGACAAAACTAGCCGATGATTGCATAGCTTGGATGGAGGAAGGGCTGTGTGTCGCCAGCACGAGTGATCCCCTATCTCGGAGCGACAATTGTGGGGCGCTTCGTGTAGATCACCTGGAGGACTTCTATATTCTCCTTCACAGTTCTTGGCAAATAGTTGTCAAGATATAAGATGTAAAAGGTGCATAGCAGGGGCGTTCACATGCCTTATATGAAACGGCATGGCATCGTACCTCCACCTATAAGTTTTTTCACTTTGCAGGACTACAAGCCAACTTCAAGACCAGGAGGCTTGGTAGACAGAGTGATATCAAACACTGCCAACTTCTGGCTCAGTTTAAATGAACTTAGGAAAGAGCATGTTCATTCTCAAGCGTCTGTTTCAGCTGAGCGCAGAACGTCACTTTGCTATCCCGTGCATATCCCCCTGTAGCGCTTAGACCTCTCGCCCCACTAAAGCTGTGTAATAATGGCTACGCTGCATTTAGTAGTTGTAGGGCTTTCCACTCTATACATGTCCTTCCAGTTGCTGGCCCATATCGTACCATGCCTTTCCTTGTCGATCGTGCAATCCAACATCGATACTGGCAGGGCTAGCCTCGCAAGGCCCAAGAATGACTTCTCAGTTCGCGAACTCGAGAAATTAATGACACCTGATGGCCTCCCAGCTTTAGAACGCCTCTCGTCATTTTCCCTCCCTAGCGGGAAGTTGCTGCTGTTGCTAAATAACTGTAGCACAGCAGACGAACATGACGCAGCGCTACCTCCCTTTGACGAGCAGATATTCTTCGGATGCGATGTAAACTTGCAGCAAATCGACTCGTCGAATAACTGGCAAAGATATGAAATGCAGCTAATAGGTTCCACCGACCTCCCAGAAGTACGAGGAGTGGGCTTCTGGGCAGAGGAAGCGAACGGGGAAATCGACAAAGTGGTGCTTCTTGTTTGGACCGCCAGCTGCAAGACTCAGCAGGAGACTTGTAGGTGTAACAAGGAGGATGGATGCAATATATCCTTTGGCAATAACAGCCAGGCCTCGTGCCTCTCGGCTATTTATGGAGGCAAAGTGGCGCCCCAGGGAGCTCGCCTCTGTCAAGGTACAAGCAACACCGAGACCAACGGCGAATGTTACTACTATAGCTTAGAAGCCAAGAATGGCTGGGGATGTGGTTCTGCTTCTAAAGAACCTGTAAAGAGTGGTAGATCCTCTGGGTCAAAGGTAACTCCAAGGAACGTCAATAGCTGGGAGACTACTAGACAAGACATCTGGAATCGCCATGGGGTTCGTCTAGGGTCTGCTATTGGGGTGCGCTATGGCACCCTCTTCTTCGCCGAATTCAATGGATATGGGGAGTTGCAATATGTTAGAAGTATTGCGCATAATGTCATCATTCCATATGGACAGGAACAACGCAAAATCATTGCCAGCGGTGAAGCCAGTGGAGCGGATGGGCTCGTAGAGAAGCAATACGCTGTTACCTTCGTAAGGGAAATGTGGAAATGGAAAACCGGAAGTGTCATCGTTTCTCCAAAATGTGAAACGATTCTTCTAAATAGCACCGCTATGCTGGAGGATTCACAGATACAAGGAAACGAGTGTGACAGTTGCCTTTACACATCTGTATCTGTGCATCCCGTAACTGGGCAGTGGGCATCAATGTGTATCAGCACAAAACTTCCTAAGATGGGAATATCCATCAATGGCTTCCTCGTGGTAGACAGCAACAGCCGTTACCAATCGGAAACCAAGGGAACCGTCCCACTGGATGAATCACTTTCATACTACAAGGATGTCGGAGGCAGGCTGCTCCCTACAGAGGGCGGGAGGTGGGTGTTAATTTGGCGCCAAGAATCCTGGAAGGTATCAGATGTGGAGGGACTAAATACGACGAGCGCAACTATAAAGGCAGCTGTGTGGGAGGGAGTCAACGAAACCCTTGAAACTCCAGTTTCCCTGTTCGGTCCTCTACAGGAGCACAGGCTTATGAACCTAGACGCTGTTTCTCTCTCCCTGCAAAGCGCACTGGTTACCGTAGCGGATTATGTGAATGAAGAAGCAAATGCCGGTGTTGTTGACTTATCAAGACTCAGCACAATAGGGCCCGGTGCTGTGGTGACAGTTGCTGGTGTGCAAGGTGGTGCTTTGTTTGGGCTTATATATGGGCATCCCTTGCTACGCCTATCGGAATCCACTGCATTGTGGCTGGGTGACGTTAAAGAAAATACCTCACCTTCTGTTGGTCCATCGACTCTGCTACCGGACTGGGAGCCTTTCAGCACTTCAAGGGCAGTCATTATATCCATAAATCAGGATGAAGAAGCCTGCCAAGGACAGTCAGCGATAAAACCTCAATAATTGCATTTAGTAGTAGGCATAAGCTCTTATATAGGTGGAAGCTGGTTTTGCTAAAATATATAAATAGCACGTTAGATATCAGTAATTATAGTTGTATTGACGATTCACATGTTGGAGCCATCCACGGTGGCTGCGGGTTCTTCAGGTGGGAGGCTACCACCTCAACCTGCCCCTCCTCTTGCCTGCAGGAGCAAGGCTTTAGAGAAAGAAATACCAGCGGTAACTGCCCTTGGGAGCCTCATGCATTCCGAATAGTTCACTGTGAAGGAGGAGACTGCCCAGACTGGAGAGAGGGGGCACTTGTTTTTGCAGGCAATAAAGCAGCCGAAGCAAACGAACTCTTGGATAAAGACTTGTCAAGCATGGTAACGATGGGACCACAAATGGACTCCATTGAACTCCGTTTAGCGGACCCCATCGACCTCGAGGCTGTGGAGGTATACGTCCACCGTGCGAATGTGTCGCTAGTGCTAAGCATCCAAGATGTAGAGGAGAACTGCCTGTATCGTATCACAAGCGCGTTTAGCGCTCCGCCTCTTGAAATGGGTGTTGCAGCCTATCCTTGGGTCACTAGATATCTCTCTTTGAAAAGGGTCAGCACACTGCTACTGCAGGCTGCACCTCTCACATCTTCAGAAGAAGGAAAGTGGGCTGTAGATATTCTTGAAATACGCCTACAGTCAACGCCTTCATTGCCATGCGCAGCAGGTGGTTTCTCTGACATGGATAAGGGCTGCGAAGTCCCGCTAGAAACTCCTTCGTCCCTGGACAGCTTAGATTGTGAGGGCGACTGGGAAGATTGGTCAATTTGCGACACCAGTTGCACTAGGACACGACGGTTTAGAGTTACCGCTCTTCCAAAGGAAGGAGGTATACCCTGCGTTACCCATGAAGTAGAACCGTGCACAGGTAATGCAGCTTTTACCGGATGTACGCCACAGAATATCACACGATTATCACGGTTGAAGAGTAAAATGCAGTACTTATAGATAATGGAGATATTGATGTACCCTCAAGATTTGACGATAGTGCACTTCCGTTAGCCAATGTGTGCTGAGTCCTTTAGCAACTCCGCACCGGTCTTCCTCTTTCAGGTGGTGGACTCTGTTCTATTTCTGGTTCGGCAAAGAATATACTAAGGGGTTCTCTGCGCCAGCAGAAGGACTCTGAGAGCTCAACACCAGGCAGCAGCACAAACTGTGCATCAACGTTATCATCGAAGTCGCAGTGTGTTTCCTGTCGTACGCTACGAACATATCAAATTACCCGCCAGGCAACAGGGGAAGGCCAGCGGTGCCCTGAAGAGCGTTTTATTTTAGGATACTGCGATGCAAACTGCGCCAGTGTTTATGGGCCCACAACGACTACTGCTGCGCCAACTACGGAAACGTTGCCATTGTTGACGCCTTCCAGCTCCCCGCTCTTAGATATGCACAGTGCTCGTGATGTAATGCTGCTACTGAAAACAGTGGCAATGTATTTCCTAGTTTTTCTACTCGCCTGTTTAGTAACCACATACTTGGTGGAATTCATTCAAGGAGGCCTGTTGGGTGGTAAAACTGCTGGCTGCGTTGATTACACTGCTGCACCTCCATCAACTATTTCTTCATCTACAATGCATGGTGTTAACAGCTATTCTGGATCGGCAACGTATGGGAATAGAACCGTACCAACGAGGAATTCAGTGGTGAGTAAACGGAACAGTGCTTTATCACAGAAATTTGGAAATGGCATTCAAGCATTCAGGCAATCACTGCTGGGTGGAAATCTTCTCCGCAACGCGAGTGAGGACGAATCAGACTGCCTCGGTGACAGCGATACCGGCGCCTGACCACATTTTACGTCGTGGAGAAGACCCCCGACCGCCGTAAGAGGCTTATCCAATATTACCGACTGTTTTCCCGTTCATCTTAAACAAAGATATCCCCTGAGGTTAACTCACCCATCACCGTTATGTTGTGGGTTAGATAACCTTCCAGCGCAACACAGTCAGCTGAACACTCCCTTACCTTATTTTCTTGTGTAAAATGGTGTAAATTTTCAGTTGCAGGGAGGCTCCTCGACAAAGTATGACGGAGGCAGCAAAAGCGGCACAAAGCAGAAAGCTGAACCGACGAAACTGCCCAACCCCCTTGCTCGCAAGATCACATAAGCTTCTAGAGGCAGTTTCCGATATATCAAGCAGCTATACCTAGGCCAGTCTCAGGCTGTACTGCTGAGAGACAACCAATGCTGAGTGGTGAGGGGGGGTGGGGTGGGGGTGGGGTGGTTATGGGGGTCATTTTGTTCATAGAAGCCTCTTCAACTGCTGGAAGCCAGCAGCCAGCTTTTACAAGACTTACAATGCTGAAAAGCCAAAGGTTTGGCGGCCTTCCTTTGAATGACATGGGACAATGGTAGGCCCAGGCCTACTGCATGCAACCAGAAAAGACGTTTGGCATCTATATCCCACGATATATATAAATCCCAAAGAGGACACTATCAGTTTTCTGGGGATAAGGCCAAATTCGCAAATTAGCGGAACACCCCACTCCACGCCAAGGAACAGTCCCACTAATACGCCAGAGGCAACAACGCCACCACGGGTGGCGCCAGACTCAATGAGTCCTTTCGTCCTCTGAGGACTGTAAGCCTTGGTTAAGTTTACCCCATGACGGCAGAGGACGTTTACGTCCAACAGCCGAATACAAAAGCTGCTACTCTCTCCGCTAGAGTGTGATTTGACCTCATTTCTACAGATACGCCTCCACCATCACTATGTCCACTCGGACGGAAAGTGGAGGTTGTGCTACTGGCAAGCACTGGTTAATATAAATGCCAAGCTCTCACCCAGTCCCTTACAATCTTGAGTGTACCTCTGTAGGTTGGCATTGAGATGACTCGTTGATCCCACTGTAGAGATACGATCCTCAACTCATGGGTTTGGCTAGCAACCCCCCAGGTTTTATAACACGCTTAAAACAACAGACGACATGCTTGCCAGTACAGCATGGACAGCGATCTCTACTGGCACCAGACGAAACGTGGAATCCTCAAAATATAGTCTCCAGCTTTTCTCAAGAAGCACGATCATTGTGTAGGGCGACAAAATGGGGTCGGCAGAACTGTAGAGCAGGCGGCCAGGACCATCTGTTGAGTAATGATGTGCCTGTCTGCCGATAAATGTCCTCCCTCGTCTGGAATGGCGGCAAAAAAACCCAGGAACACTCTCAAACCTGAACTGCTGCAGAACCATCCGATTCCTAAACGGGTCTGGACGGATATTCTAAAGGGTATTATTGTGCCTTTGCTGCGAGCCAGAGGCTGTGCTAGCTTCTATGTAGTTGTGGTTACTGATCTGTAATCTCCCGGGAATAATCATTAGCATGGGGGCTTTGATTTTTGGTGTAAGTTTCTGCCACAAATTCCCCATGAAGATATTCATCTGCATGGGGAATTTGTGACAGAAGTTTCCATATCGGGTATCAGCTTTCTTGACACTTTTCTGTGTTACGCAGTTTCATGGCCCTTTCCCTACGCATTCCTCTGGTTGTGGTTATTCTGTATCCATGGCCTGCAACGTTCGGCGCTGCAGTATTGCTCGTCAGCCACCGTTGCACTTACATTCTTGTGAAAAGTGGGATGTGCGCAGATAAAGTGGGGCGCTCATGGGAGATATGCTAAGAAGATACTAATGGTTCACGTTGGCTGTATTAGATTTGCGCACGTCCAGGCGCTACAGGGATATTGCAAAGCAAGTTCCCTTCCGCAGACAAGGAACGAGGTGAGAAGCAATAGAATCAGGGAAACTAATGGTATTGCTTCAGCAAGCATCAGCTTAACCTGCATCCTGCCAGCAGGCATCCTCAACGCAGCGACAGAAGGGGTTCAGACTGGCTGGAGGGGGAACGGCTTCCACAGTTCCAGGTTCTCCAGCTGCAACTGCTACCGCAAGCAAGTAAACATGCGAATCCACGTGGAAGCAAGCTGAAGGCCCCCTTCGAAACATGCAATAGCGTGGTTGTCAACAACTTTCAATGCAGCAGCTAATATGCGCACAGTGCATGCTCCTGCAGTCAGTAGACTGTGCCACAAACTCCCTTCTGGCTGGAATCACAGACTAATCGAATGCAAAGCTTGTCAAACTTTTCTGAGTCGACGAAAGTTCCCTGGAGGAGCGCAGCCGCTACCGAAGCATTCCTCTCTAGGCCACCGAGACCGGACACACTCCCGTATGAACAACAGACGAACGAGCATTCTCAAACTGCTTTCCGATGCACTCCTGAACATAATTGTACAGCTTTTTCGGACGCAATCTGCACCCTCACTAGCGGATGCATAGGCCTACACATGCTGCATATACGTCCACACGCAGGTCCTACCCGTTCACAGGCACCCTTCCAGACGTCGGATAAGCAAGGAGCTTGTTTTTCTTGAAAACCATGCATTGAAAATTTGTGTGAATTTCATAGAAATATAGCTAGGGCATATAGTTTACAAGGACACTACCAACTGGTTGAAGCGGATGTTTGGGCATGCACTCCATCCATCTGCGCTGATCCACAAGCAGTTCCAGCAATAGTTATTCCCTCTTAGAAATACAACTTGCCCATTTATTCATTTTTGTGCTTGGACATGCTTTAGTCATGTCCTCCATCGAAGATGCAGATAACTGTCACTGACCCTGGTAAGTTTTATGCTGATTATAGGTAAGGGGAAGGCAGTAGAGATGGTGCCTTCATTTCTTTGCCACATGTCTCAGTCGATATCTCCAAGCATATTTCTGCGAATAAGCCAGATGAAATGTGTTAACAAGCAGTGCAAGCTTTATCATTTCATTTCCCGCTGTTCGTCCTTCCTCCACGCTCGATGCGATTCTAGTGATGTGTTTTTTGGGGTTCTGATGTGTCAGATGGCCAGATCTTCACTCTGGATCTCACCGGGGAGGCAGAGATCTCGGCGCTTAAGGACATCATCTCAGTGGAGTTCAACATACCCCCAGAGAGACAGCGGATTCTACTTGATGGGCAGCCGCTTCGGTACGACCCTGCTCCATTGAAATGCCTTCGTTCGCCCATATTTTCCGTTAGGGATACTGTGTGGATTTTGGATACTGTCATGCCTGCTCAGGAACACCGCGAGGACTCTAGCGGAGGCGAGGGTGGGGGAAGGGGCGATGCTGCTCGTCTTCAACGAGCCCCCTCCACCTGCAGGAACAACTACTTCACCTGGCATTCCTGGTTCCATGGAGGCGCGTACACAGCAAGCACACCAGCTGCTGACTCCCAGAGCTCAAACACCACAGCGGCAGCAACCACCTACTACCTTGCCCTTTGACTTTTCAAGTACGCCGCATCGTACTTGAAACGCATCGTAATGCTGCGCTCCAAATCTCGAGTACACGGCGAATTCGTTGGCCTTTGGGATATGGTTCTTTGCGGCTTTGCCTTACTCTGTATGCAGGCATTGTCGTGGATGGCGGTCGCGTCGCTGAGTTCCCTGCAGGGGAGACCATTGTCCCCTCCCGACGCGCATCGCCTGCTGCACCGGCTGCTAGCACTCGCACCTCCCCACCGGCGATTCCAGGGGTTGCTAATACTCCACCCTCTACACCTGGTTCAGAAGCACACGTAAAAGTGTTGATACGGCGTCGCGCAGAAGCTGCAGTGGCTGCAGCAAGGGCGGATCCCACCTCCCTGAGCCTCATCCGAGCGCACAATCCCGTCCTAGGGGATGCCATCAAAGCTGCTGCAGACGAGCGAGACGCAGCTCTTGTGCGAGAAGGAACAGATGGGGCTCAGCAAGCAGAGAGTGGCACAGCGATGAAACAGTTGGTAGAACTTATAGAAAAAGAATATGAGGCTCAAAAAAAGGTGAGGTGCAAGAGTGTATGATGTTTCCCGGATCTTATTGCATGCTGTACTTTTGCCGCTACTTTCGCACTACTAATATGCAGCGGTAGCTTATGCAGCTGCATCAAGAACCTGCAACGGCAAGTGCAACAAGTTTCTACACATATGCCTTCGCTTTCAGGCAGAAAGCGAACGATTGAGACGCATGCAAGCTGTCCAACGGGACCCGCTGTCACAGGAGGCTCAACAGTTCTTGCTGGAGGAGCTGCAGCAAGAAAGAATCAATGAGAATTATTCGATGGCACGGGAGCATCTTCCTGAAGGGTTTGGATCTGTGTGCATGTTGTACATAGATGTGGCGATCAATGGAGTCCCGTGCAAGGCCTTTGTCGACAGCGGCGCGCAGCAGTCGATTTTGTCTTTGGAATTTGCAGAGAAGTGTTCCCTAGCATCCCTCATCGACAAGCGCTTTGCTGGGTTGGCAATGGGGGTTGGCAAAGCTCCCATAATTGGCCGAGTGCATCTGGCGCCCCTTAAGCTGGGCACGAAGTTCTGCCCGTGCAGTTTTATTGTTTTGGAGGACACCAAGATGCAGATGCTTTTGGGTCTAGACATGCTCAGGCGATATCAGATGATCATCGACCTGAAGAAAAACGCCCTGATTGTTGAAGGTGAGCCATAAATCCGGAGTGCAGCGAAACTCAGAACACCCCTAATCCTCCCCAAGCTGTTCTGTGAGCTCTTTTGCATTCACTTACGGAGGTACCAAGACAGCGACTAATTGGGATGAGCCGCGGTGGAAACTTTTACTATGGGCCTCAAGGAGTTAACCGAGAACTTATTTAAGCTTCTTTAGCAGGTAGCTATCTATCTGTGTAGATTGGTGCGTTGAGCCACTTCTCAGGAGAGGAGATTCCTTTTCTTTCCGAGGCGCAAATCGGCAAAGGGCTGTTTGGAACTGGAGAGGTAGAGAGTGCAAAGACTGCGGAAAAGCCAGAAGCACCTAAGTGATGTTGGCGCTTCCCTCCGCGTTTTTGCAGTGTTGTCCCACGATAAGCTGAACGGTCTTTTAGATGGCAGACGCACTGAGCCGCTGTAGGAGAGAAGACGGTATCGCATGTGCTTATCTCTTCTAGCTGGACCCCCAAACCCCAACAGCACCGGCAGCTTCTGCTTTGGTGACTGTTATCTGTGAAACTTGGCGGCTGTTTTTGTTGTTGCATTAATTTGTTGCATGGGGATATGGGATTGCTTCTTGTGTCTGTTTCAGACTTGAATAGGTCATTACCATTTTGTTGTTTGTCTGTATAGCGCAGTAGTATGGCTGGGACATTTTTAATAAGGCTAGAAACGGGCACATTTTCGGTTCAGTGCAGTTGCACGTAAGGTGCATGAATGATTGTGGGATAGTTGTACACAGTGGTTGGCTTCTTCTTCGTTTACGTTCAACTGATTTCTGTGTATGCGGGCGACTATGCCGGTAAATCTATTCATGCATCCTTGTGCTCATTTTTCAAGCGACAGATAACCTTCCCAAGGTGCCTCAATTTTGTGGTTGAAAACCTCACAAGCATCTGTCAGTGCCCATAAGCTCGCCAATTTTAGGTGTATGATTGGCTAATACCGTCGGTTCATGCAGCTACGCAGCACCCTCCGATTACTGGGTGAAGTGCACTAGGACCAGTTCTGATCACGAACAATCCACTAGCTGATTACTTGTGTTCTAGCGACTTGGTAGAGTATGACACTCACAGCTATATGCATCTTATGAAGGCAGCATGGAGCGACCGGAGCAGTTGGTCACCTGAACTTAGCTTTGGCCTGACCAACGTAGGTTAGCTTTGACACAAGGATTGAATGGACACCTGTAAGTGGGCAGACATCTAACTGGACATCTCCACGAGCTGGCAGCTACCAGCGCTGTAGCACCGAGGGCAAGGGAACACAGCAATACTGATCCTCTGCTTGGATGGAACCCAGCTGTGCGCAGTGGGCACAGACGACACGTAGCCAGAAAGGGTTCTGTCTGGATGGAAACCATATTTGTAGGGATGCTCCAAATTGTATAGAGGGGTTGTTGCCTCTTAATCCGTAGAGCTGGGGCATCCAAGCTCATTTGCTGCGAAGCGAAGACGTACGGGCGGTCAACATCAAAACTCGTTTGGATTTTGCAAAGGCGTTTCAGCACTGTTTTATGGCTGTCTCCGTGAGGAACGCCGCCAGAGACTTGGCCGGACCCAATCTGCAAATCAGCTTCTGCTCCTCAGAGCTGAGGACGCGTAGGCATTCATACTTGAAGCACGCTCTGCCACAGTGCACTTTGATCCTGTTCATACAGTTGAGAACTAGAAGACGAATGCACACATATAACATGCGAGTTTCCTACCACACCTAAGAGGGACCAGGAGGTCCGCCTGCAATGGAGAACCACGGCAGATCACCGCTATTATTGAGCTGAGCTGACACCGGAGCTTCTGTCGTTGAAATGAGCAAGTTGTTCTATCCTGATAAGGGGTTAGATGCTATATGGGCCGTGCTATAGGAACATTTTGGCTTTTTCTTTCCATTTGTGGTGGCTAATGGCCACTGGGTATCTCGATTCCTCCTTTGATCCCACGTCTTCGCACGCACCCAAATTCATTTTGGAACCTCGTGGAATATATTGAACCACAGTCGCCACTAGTCTTATCCTGAGCTTTGGGGAGCTTGCATTTGGGGCAACTATGTATTGGTTCTAACACTAGAATTAAGTTTCTGGCTAGTTTTACAACTCTTTTCCTGTTGCTGTCTAGCGGATAGTGGCTTGCTCACCAGCTTCAGCAACTGGATGCCTGAGCAATTTTCCAAATTTGGGCCTAGAAGAGAGGGCACCTTTGGTTTTGTTCAGGGCATTGGCTGCAAAAGGATTTAGTTTGATGTGTGCATTTAGCCTGGCGTTCTGTGCCAATTCAAGTAATTCTATACGTCCTGTCTATCTTAATCGCTGATAATCAAGCATGTTCTCACTGGACTTTCGAACGACTGCTTCACCGCCCCTGCCTAAAGCCGTTTAGCATGATGGTTCACTTCAGCACTCCCTGTCTCTCATTCCACCTGTAAAAGGTCTACAGGCTACCGCGTGTTTAGCGTGTACACTGTCAATCTAGTCGCTGAGGACTGACGGAGTTCAAATGGAAATACCATATTCTCCCAGCCTTAAAAAAAGGAATGGGTAGCTTTCTGCTTTGTGAATATGAGATCGCTGATAGACGCTGTTTCGACTAAGCACACTAAGAGGAAACGAAGGAGCGAGGAAGCGCATATTAGGTTTCCTTGTGAATCAGAAACTCTGGCCCATGGATGGATTGAGCTAAAAGCTACAATTGTGTGGAGAAAATGCTTCTGTAAACAGAAAATTCACCAAGCGTTTTTATTGTAAGGCCACCATTTCTACAACAGCAATACTCGCACAGCTCCTAAACGTCGCCTGAAACCGTCTCATTGGAGGGAACGCTCTGCTGTGTCTTTCTACGACAATTCCCGCATTAATAGATTCCCGTGATGAAAAATATATTTTTAATGCCTGAATCTTCGAGACAATTGCCAGTTTGGAGCGTTTCGCCAATGTACAGAGAAAGGTGCCCTCCCGTGTGTGTGCCTCGAGACCGCTCGCTTTGCAGCCAATTCACTGCAGTGAGCCAGCGCTCTCGCCAACGGAGGATCGCTGGGAAGTGGCTTTGGCCCAAATTGTGAAACACAAATTTTTTTTTTCGTAGGCCTATAAAGTACCGTTCATTCTCCTAAGATCCACAACAGAATGGCTGGGCTAAAGTTCCTTTCATTGGCGGTCGCCGCCGTCTCCTTACTGGTCAACTATGCACAAGCACAGCTCACTAACTCCGCCAGTAGGTCTCCGACCAACGCATTTTGGCCATGTTGTATGGGTGAAATGAAGTAGAGAAAGTTAATGGATTGAATGTTGATTTGTGTGAGCTGATGCAGAGTCGGTGGACTGCTCTGCGGCTATGAATGATGCCCGCAAACGTGGAGGCTTTGTTAACCTACAAGTTCCAGAGAACTCAGAACAGCAGCTGCCCATCACTACTACAACCACACAGAAGCCGACTTCCGTAGCCAGTGGACCAAACGACACATACATAACGAAAGTCTGCACAGCAATGAAAAATGTGAGTCCTCTAATTGCAATTCCTCGTTCAGTTGTTTCTTAAATGTGCTCGGGTCCCTCTAGAGGACATACCCTGCCCTTTCTGTGAAAAGAAATCCTTTGCTTTATGTGGTATGCCCAACATGAACAGAGCACACCCATTTCAGCAGCTACTACACCAGACGGTACCTTCGCCTACGCAGTGCAAACAGGAGAAGAAGCGGACTGTAAGGCCGCAGTGGATGAGTGGAAAAAAGCTTATTCCAACTTTGACAGCTTACCTCCTGCGTTTACCGACTACGCAACAGCTCCATACAAGGATGCAAACAATGTTTCTTTAATCTCCTTGTTCAACCCTAAAGAAGAACCCACGGTGGATTGCGCATACTTCAAATGCCTAAACCAAGAAGGAAACGCAATTGAGCTGAAAGCACTGCTTTGTGTCACAACTCCGAATGCCTTGAAAGCGAAGGCACAGCCCTACACGTAAGCTACCCATTTATTATTTGCTGGCGGTGACACTGCCTACTGTAATTTGTAGAAAACCCTTCAATTCTCTATTATTTTAGCAAGGTAAGTCTCTTCTTCTTGTTTGTGTGTCTCAGTGAAGATGAGTGGAAACGCATTAACACCGCCATCAACTCCGGCAGTGCAGCAGTTCCTACCGTCATCGTCGTTGGTGCCGCCGCACTGGCTGCCCTTTTCTTGTAAAGAAATTCTTGACTGTTCAATGCAGCTTGCATCTCTTGCAAATATGCCTTTTCTAATTTCCTGGTTGAACTTGATCAAATTCCCCAATAGGCTCAAACGACGATTGCTGTGGGGGGATTCCCAAATTAAGCGCCTCTTCTACTCGTCAAGGCTCTATCTTTTTAGACTTCCGCTGTGTTTTCTGCTGCTGTTTCGGGGATAGTAGTTTGTTCGGCAGCCTCAGCAAAAGGAACACTCGGAAGTTTTTCTAATTTAGATATAGAAGACAAGGGGGATTTACGGGTGGTCAGAATGCCAAGCATCACACTATATTAGTTTGTGTCCAATGGGACACAAACGGATATAGTGTGATGCTTGGCATTCTGTGCCAGTTCAAGTAATTCTGTACAGTTTTTCTATTTGATTCATTCAACCTAAGCAGTGTCCTTACTGAACATTCAAACGACTGCTTCTCCGCTCCTGCTTAACGTCGTTTAGGATGGCAGTTTGGTTCAGCACACTCTGCCTCTCATTCAATCTATAGAAGGTCTACAGGGTAGCTCTTCCTTGGTGTGTACTATATCAATTCAGTTTCTGAGGACTCGCGAAATTCAAATGGACACTTGTCCGGCTTTGGAGAAACAAGGGGGGGCAGTCTTTTGTTTGTGAAACTGAGATAGTTGTTAGAGACTTTTTGGAGTTACCACACTAGGAGGAAACGACGGTGTGAGAATGCCCATACTACGTTTTTCCGTGATTCAGAAACTCTGGCACATAGATAGATGGACTCAAAATTCACAGTTATGTGGCGAAAATGATTCGTAAACACAGCAAATTCCATAATTGCGTTTATTGTAAGGATGCCATTTCTACAACCACAATACTCGCACCTGCCCTCAATATTTCCTGAAATGGGAACATTGATGGGAACGCGCTGCAATGTCTTTCTACAATAATTCCCACATTAATATATTCCTATGGGGGAATATACATTTTGTACGCCTAAACCTTCTAACAAGTTGCCAGATGTGGAGTGTTTCGCCAACGTACACAGAAAAGTGCCATTCGCCGGTCGGCCTCGAGACCGCTGCCACTGCAGTCGACTAACTCCCGTGCGCGGGCGCTCTCGTCACAGGAGGATCGCCGGGAAGTCGGCTGTGGCCCAATCTGTCATACACAATTGATTTTTTACACTTTTATTGGCCCATAAAGGACTGTTGATTCTCTTTATATCTCGAGAATGGCTGGGCTCAAGTTCCTGGCGTTGACGGCAATCGCTGTCTTTTTACTGGCAAGGGGGCTACCTCAGGAACCGTTACAAACACCGCCGGTAGGTCTCCGACCAACGCACTTTAGTAATATTGTAGGTTTGAAATAAAGTAGATAAATTTAATGTGTTAACGGTTGATTTGTGTGAGCGGGTGCAGAGAGGGTAGACTGTTCGGAAGCGATGAACGTAGCCCGTATTGGTGGAAACTTCGTTGCACTCGAAGTTCAAGAAGACCCCACAAAGCAACTGCCTATTACTACTACAACCACACTCGCGCCGCAAAATACTAAGACCGCACCTGGTAAACCCAACCAAACGTACATAGATACAGTCTGCAGCGCCATGAAATCGGTAAGTTCTGTAGTTGAAATTTCTCGACCTATTCTTTCTGTCACGCGGTCGAATCTCACACTGGAAGAAAGTGTTTGCCTTTTGTGGAACAAGATATCCTTGGCTTTATGTGGTGTGCCGAATATGAACAGGGCACACCCATTTCGGATGCGACTAAACCAGACGGCACCTTCGCCTACGCAGTGCAGCAAGGAGAACAAGTTGACTGTAAGGCCGCAGTTGATTACTGGAAAAAGGCCTATTCCGAATTCGGCGATTTACCTCCCGCTTTTACGAACTACAAGACAGCTCCATACAATGATGCCAACAATGTCTCCTTAATATCCCTATTCAACCCTAAAGAAGATCCCACGGTGGACTGCGCGTACTTCAAATGCGCAAACACAGGCAACACCGCAGTGGAGTTGAAAGCACTGCTTTGTGTCACAGCCCCGAAGGCTTTGACAGCGAAGGCACAGCCTTTCACGTAAGGCGCTTATTTATTACTTGCTGGCGGTAGCACTGCCTACTGTAAGTTTGTAGCAGATAGTTCAATTCTCCCAATTATTTTTGTAAGGTAAATCTCTTTTTGTTTGTGTGTCTCAGTGAAGATGAGTGGAAACGCATTAACACGGCTATCAATTCCGGCAGTGCAGCAGTTCCCACTGCCATCGTTGTTGGTGCCGCCGCACTGGCTGCTCTTTTCTTGTAAACAAAATTTTTGGGTGTTCAAGACAATTTGCAGCTCTTGACAATAGGCCATTTCAAAGTTCCTGGCTGCACTTGATCAAACTCCCGAATAAACTTAACTGACCACTTCTGTGGGGGGACTCCCTCGTCTTTCTCCAAATTAAACGCCCCTTCTTATACTCGTCAAGGCGCCGTCCTTTTTAGACTTCCTCATTTTACAATATTTTTGCTTGCTGCTGTTTCGGGGATAGTAATTTGTTCAGACGCTTCAGCAAATGGAACACTCGGAAGTTCTTCTAATGTGAATATAGAAGACCAAGGGGCTTCGGAGTTGTTCATTGCATTGGACACAGACAGATGTAGTGTAATGCTTGCCGTTCTGTGCCAGTTCGAGTAATTCTATATATCTTTTCTATTTGGTTCATTCAACCTACGAAACGTTCTTACTGAACATTCAAACGAGTGCTTCGCCGCCCCTGCCTAACTCCATTTACGATGGCTGTTCACTTCAGCGCATTCTGCCTCCCATTCCACCTGTAATAGATCTACCGGGTAGCTCGTCGGTGGTGTATACTATTTCAATTCAGTTTCTGAGGAGTTGCAAGGTTCAAATGAAAATTTCCGGTTCTCCCAGTCTTGGATAAACAGAAAGGTCAGCTCTCTGTTTGTGAAACTGAGATGGTTTATAGACGCTCCTCCGAGTGAGCACACTGAGAGCAAACGCAGGTTTGAGAATGCGCATACTACGTTTTTCTGTGAATCAGAAACTCTGGTACATGGATGGATGGAGCTGAAATTCACAAATGTGTGGCGAAAATGCTTTTGCAAACACAACAAATTAAATTATTATTTCTATTATAAGGATGCCATTTATACAAGCACAATACTCGCACCGGGCCTCAATGTCTCTTGATATGGTCGCATTGGTGGGAACGCGATGCAGTGTCTTTCTACAATAATTCTAGCATTAATATATTCCTATGAGGGAAAATGTATTTTTTATGCTTAAACCTTCTAATCAATTGCCAGTTGTGGAGAGTTTCGCCTACGTTCACAAAAACGTGGCCTGTGGCGGTCTGGCTCGAGACCGCCGCCAGTGCACCCAACTCCCGTGAACAGGGGATCTCGTCAACGGAGGATCGCTGGAAGTCGGCTTTTGCCAAACCGGTCAAACAAAATTGATTTTTTACATTTTTCTATGCCCATCAAGTACCGTTCATTCTCCCTAGGTCTCGAGAATGGTTGGGCTCAAGTTCCTATCGTTGGCGGCAACCGCCGTCTTTTTACTGGCCAGGGGGGCCACAGCAGGAGCCGTTAAAAGCACCGCCGGTAGGTCTCTGACCAACAGTTTTTAGTCACATTGTGGGGTTGAAATGAAGTAGAGAAATTTAATGGATTGATTGTTGATTTGTGTCAATTGATTCAGAGAGAGTGAACTGCACGTCTGCAATGAACGCTGCCCGCAACGGTGGAGCATTCGTTGCACTCAATCCTGCAGAGGATCCCGCATACCAACTGCCTATTACTACTACAAGTACAACCCCCCCGACTACTTCCACGTCCAACGATGCGTACATAAAGAAGGTCTGCGCCGCGATGAAAAACGTGAGTTTTGGAATTGAAACTTGTCATTCGATTGTATCTTAAATGCGCTCGGGTCTGACTGGAGGAAAGACCTTGCCTTTTGTTTGATGAGACATCATTGGTTTTATGTGGTGTGTCCAAATGAACAGAAAACACCCATTTCAACAACGACAAAGCCAGACGGTATCTTCGCCTACGCAGTGCAAACAGAAGAAAAACCTGACTGCGAGGCCGCCGTAGATTACTGGAAAAAAGCCTATTCCACAATCGGAGATTTACCTCCCGCCTTTTCGAACTACACAACAGCTCCATACAATGATGCCAACAATGTCTCTTTAATGTCCCTGTTCAACCCTAAAGACGATCCCACGGTGGATTGCGCATACTTCAAATGCGCAGACGCAAGCGAAGCCTCAGTGGAGTTCAAAGCACTGCTTTGTGTCACAACTCCGAATGCCTTGAAAAAGAATGAACAACCCTTCACGTAAGCTGTCTTTATATTATAAATTTGCGGTGCACTTGCCCCTCTGTAAGCTTGTAGAAGACCCTTAAATTCTCGACAACTATTATTTTAGCAGTAAATCTCTTTTCCCTGTTTGTGTGTCTCAGTGAAGATGAGTGGAAACGCATTAACACGGCCATCAATTCCGGCAGTGCAGCAGTTCCCACTGCCATCGTCGTTGGTGCCGCTGCACTGGCTGCCCTTTTCTTGTGAAGAAATTTTTGGATGTTCAAGACAACTTGCAGCTCTTGCAAATAGGCCTTTTCTAATTTCGTGGCTGCACTTGATCAAAATCCCCAATAGACCCAACTGTCGACTTTTGTGGGGGGATTCACCCGTCTTTCTCCAAATTAAACGCCTCTTGTTATACTCACCCCTCTTAGACTTCCTCTCTTTAAAATTTTCTTTTTCTGCTGGTGTTTCGGGGATAGTGGGTTGTTCAGAAGCTTCAGCAAATGAAACACTCGGAAGTTTCTCTAATTCGGGTCTAGAAGACCAAGGGACGTTGGTGTTGTTCAGGGCATTGGAAACGAACGGATATTTTGTAATGTTTGCCGTTCTGTGCCAGTTCGAATAATTACATACTTTCATTTCTATTTGATTCATTCAACCTAATGAGTGCCCTCATTGAAGGGTCAAACGACTGCTTCACTGTTCCTGCCTAACGCCATTTAGGATGGGGGTTGACTTCAATGCATTGTGCCTCTCGTTCCATTTGTAAAAGATCTACAGGGCAGCTCTTGCGTGGTGTGTACTATGACGTTTCAGTTTCAGAGGAGTTGCGAAGTTCAAATGAAAATACATATTTGCCCATTCTCTGAGAAACAGAAAGGGCAGCTTTGTGTTTATGAAGTTGAGATAGTTGATAGACGCTTTTACCAGTGAGCACATTGAGGAAGGATTGTGAATGCTCATACTGCGATTCTCTCTGAATCAGAAACTCTGGCACATAGATGGATAGAGCTAAAATTCACAATTGTGTGACGAAAAATCTTCTGTAAACAGTGCAAATTCCATAATTGTGTCTATTGTAAGCATGCAATTTCTACAGCCACAATAGTAGCACCGGTCCTCAATATCTCCTGCAATGGTCGCATTGGTGGGAACACGCTGTAGTGTCTTTCTACAATAATCCCCACATTACTATATTCCCATGAGGGAAAATGCACTTGGTATGCATAAATCGTAGAGCCAATTACCAAATGTGGAGCGTTTCGCCAACATTATACGGATAAGTGCCATCCGGCGCTCTGCCTCGAGACGGCCGCCACTGCAGCCAACTCACTATCTTCCTACGGCGATCGCGTCAACGGACGATCGCTGGCAAGTGGGCTTTGGCGTAACCTGTCAAACACAATTGATTTTTTTCACTTTTCTTGGCCCATACAGTACTGTTCATTCTCCCTAGGTCTCAAGAATGGCTGGGCTCAAGTTCCTGTCGTTGGCGGCATCCGCCGTCCTTTTACTGGCCAGTCGGGCTACAGCAGAACCCGTTAAGAGCACCGCCGGTAGGTCTCCGATCAACAGAATTTAGTCATGTTCAGGGTTGGAATGGAGTAAAAGAGTTAATTAATTGATGGTTGATTTGCGTGCACGGATGCAGAAAGGGTAAACTGCTCGGCTGCAATGAACACTGCCCGCGGCCGTGGAGCCTTCGTTGAACTTAGCGTTCAAGAGGAACCAGATAAGCAACTGCCCATTACGACTACAACCACAACTACCCCGCCATCTACTCCGGAAACAGCCTCTGCTCCAAACGATGAGTACATACAGAATGTTTGCACGGCCATGAAAGCAGTGAGTCTTGCAATTGAATAGCCTCACCCTATTCTGTCTTAAATGAGGGCGGCTTTCACAATGGAAGAAAGACCTTGTCTTTACTTTGTTGAGGTATCCTTGGTTTCATGTGGCTTGTCCAAAATGAACAGAGCACGCCCATTTCACAGGCGACTAAACCAGATGGCACCTTCGCCTACGCAGTGCAAACAGGAGAAGAAGCTGACTGTAAGGCCGCAGTTGATTACTGGCAAAAGGCTTATTCCAAATTCGGCGATTTACCCCCAGTTTTTGCGAACTACACAACAGCTCCATACAATGATGCCAACAATGTCTCTTTAATTTCCCTGTTTAACCCTAAAGAAGATCCCACGGTGGACTGCGCATACTTCAAATGCGCAAACCAGGCAAAAAATGCAGTGGAGTTCAAAGCACTACTTTGTGTCACAGCCCCGAATGCCTTGGAAAAGGATAAACAACCCTTCACGTAAGCTGCCTTTATAAACTTGCTTGGAATGCCCTTCTGTAAGCTTGTATAGTACCCTTCAATCCTCTATAACTATTCTTTTAGCAAAGTAAATCTTTTTTTTTTGCTTTTGTGTCTCAGTGAAGATGAGTGGAAACGCATTAACACCGCCATCAACTCCGGAAGTGCAGCAGTTCCCACTGCCATCGTCGTTGGTGCCGCCGCACTGGCTGCCCTTTTCTTGTGAAGAAATTTTTGGATGTTCAAGCCAATTTGCAGCTCTTGCAAATATGCCATTTGTTTGTAATCTCCTTGCTGCACTTAATCAAAGCCCTGAATAGACTCAGCCGACCATTTCTGCTGGTGGATGCCAGTCCAAATTAAACGCCTCTTCCTATGCTTATCAAGGCTCCACTCTTTTAGGCTACTTCAGTAGGCAGGAGCTTAAAGGTTGAATGCAGCTTTAGAGTGGCAAAAGCACAAGTTCTAGGTACTCGAGAGAGTTGCGATGGAAAAGCTGCTTTGTGTGATCCTACGGCACTGCGACACTGTGCACCATATATAATATACATTGTATACAATACTTATATAGGCAATCGAGGCAAGCATAGCTTCAAATGCTGAATTTAGTTATTTTTGTCAGGCAGAAGAGAAGAGTCAAATACCATGCGCTAACGCAGAACACTCGGAAACTTTTGGTGCACTAGCAATTTATTGAGTTACAGCACTGCTTCGTGGCGTTAGGGTTTTCTCAGCAAAAGGATATCCAAATAGAAGAAGTCAAAAGACTGAGCGGCACACGCGAGAAGGTACAGTTAAATTGGACAAACAGGAAAAACAAAAGCTGTTCCTTCGCGAAAGACGAAAACGATGGTTTGAAGTTGAACTAGGACCTTCACAGGAAGCGATTCTTGTACAAGTTAATTATTTCTTTTCCTTCGCGGATCCGTCCTCGATTCGAGCTATCGGAATTTTCACAGCAATCATTGGCTAGGTACAGGTGGTTTCAAACATCTGGTGAAGGCACTGTGGATGCAGTAATCAAGCGACGTAGAACCACGACGAAGAGGATTTTTTAAGACGGCGTCTAATCAGCTGTCGAAGCCTGGACACTCAGCGCACGTTGTGAACATTCACTTAAAAAAGCCGCGACCAAATGTTAGAATGTCGTTGAAATATCACTAAATTGCTGATAGACCACAACGGAAAAGAACGATAGTGGCAGACAACATGTGTAACTAGAGCGAAGTTGGGACATCTTGTGTCAAAGTTTCTGAAGAAGAAAACAGTGTCAATCCAGCGTGTGAGTTCCACAATTGCCATTTTGCCCTGCTGAGTTTTCTTTTAGTGAGGCAACAACATCACAGAAGTACTGAAAAATACTGAGCAAGGAAAGTAAAGCGACATCCAGAAGCTACCAAGGAAGCATGGAGGAGACACCGAAGTGGCAAGCCTGCTTCGGTGCCCTGTTTCCCACTAAGTTTCACCAGGGATTAACACCAACAAAGAACTTGCAGACATTCGATTAACAGGGTTTTAACTAAATAAAATGCATTACAATACAACATAAACGCTAATATAATATAATATCTTGTTTGAACTGTTGTGAAGACGACCCCGAAACCTGTGTGTGCTGGGGACTTCCCGGCGAGACCTTGGCGAGACCGTCTCACACACACGGGCCACATGCTGGTGCCACATGCATGTGTTGGAAGTACACTTTTACCCATTCAATGGGTTTACCAAGAAATTTCGACAGAACTAGACGTCGCTCGCACGCATGTATACCTCTGACCTGTGGGAATGTCTACTCTCAAGTTCTTGTCATTGGCGACCTCCGCCTTATTCTTGGGGAGCGCAAACAGGGCTGGCGCAGCTAGTAACACAGCCAGTGAGTGCTTCGAAAACAAACTGCATTTTCACAATGTGCAATATACAGCAAGAAGCATGCTGAAGTCGCTCATGTTGCTGTTGCGTGACCGAATGCAGCGAGCGTTTCATGCGTAACGGCCATGAATTCGGCCCGACAACTTGTCGGCTTCGGAGAACTCAAAGAAGGAGAGAATGCAGGAGAAGTACTCCCAATAGTTTCCGGTCCTGCCAAAGCTGTTTCAGGAGAACAATACGTGGCGCAAGTCTGCACGGCGTTCCGAGCTGTAAGGGGTAACATTAAATGCCTGAGGAGCTGACCCTCTTTACTGGGTTCCGCACGCAAGGTTTAAGTAAAGAAATTGTGAATATGCACAATCAGTCAAGTGTTCCCCGCATTATATATTAGTTCATTCTAATATACATAATCAGTTGTGTGTACCTGATTTTATTCCCTACCTCATTCTCCCCATGTTGTGTCCTCCAAAAACTGAGCAGAACCAAGCCACTGATGCATCTGCCATTGCAGTCAATGGCACATATGCCTACGCTGTTCAAGATGAAGCTGACTGCGAAGCCGCAGTCAACTCCTGGAAGGCAGCTCTATCCAACTTTAACGGGGTGATGCCTCCAGTATACGAAGCAACCAAAGAGCCGTACACCAACCCTCAAAATGTTTCCTTCATTTCCCTCTTCAACCCTCAAGAAAACCCAAAAGTGTACTGTGCTTACTTCACGTGTCCAGCAACACAGCAGGTGGGCACGAAGCAGACGAGGGATGGCAATAAGGTGGATGAGGCCAAAGGCACTAGTGAGTTAGAGACCCGGGAGGAGGTGCCCCAGGAGCCCCCGCCACCTCAGGAGCACCCAGAGCAGGAAGAAGAAGACAACGAAAACGGAAGCCTTGAAGGCACTCCTGAAAGCGGCAACACGGTTGGAAAAGACGTGAAGGCTCTTCTTTGCGTCACCACCCCCAACACCTTGGTGGATGGAAGAGCGCCGTACACGTAAGCTGAATTCCGTCGTGAGCATCCTTTTGCTACTGTGGTCTTGTGCCAGCCGAATGATAAAATACATACTTTGAAAGTTTTAATCCATGCTGGATGTGGCAAGTTGAATGTGCGTCTCAGGGAGAGCCAATGGCAGCAGATTACCACTGGACTCAGCAAAAACGCAGCTGCAGCAGTGCCTACGACTTTCGTGGCATTTGCTGCTGTAGCAGTTGGTGCTTTTCTCCTTTGAGCACCTCGTCAACATCCCAGCACCTTACATTCAACATCTGTTTGATTTTGTAAACCATCGGTTTCGTTCAGACAACCGATATTTAGGTTTAGCGTCTAACGTGCGCTTCAATAGCTTCAGGCTAAATAGGCTTGAATAAGGAAGCTCTATAATCGGTTTAATGCTGTTTTGGATGCCTGAGAATACAGCTAATCGACATTGGAGAGATGAATGGAAGTGGACAGCTGAGTAAAGCAGTGGAATACACCGCTGTCAGATCGGTGAAATGCATGCTCAAACGCGTTTGCACAGCCCCCCTTGAATGACTATTTTGGCTCAAGTTTAAGTTTTACTGTAGAAGCATGTGTTAATAGACGCATAAAGCATAGGCTGCATGCATGTTCTAACAGATCTTCACTCAGTTGCATGGACTAGGCTTAGCACTACGACTATTTGACTAAGACACGACCATCGACAATCCCGGGTGCTGTACTAATTCCGGGTTGGTTGTGGGCATATATATATATATATATATATA